CCCTACACAGAGTAGAAACCACAGCTGTAACAATACACATTCTGAGTTAGGCACCAGAAGACATGAGTGTAAACAGGGAGGCAAAAATATCTCCAAACGAGGAGAAACTTCCCCCTACACCTGTCAACAATATTAAGCTACTTCACTCATCAAGTTGCACAAACTGCTGTTCTAAGCAGCAAAGCACACGTTGGAAAAATGAACTTCAGCCATGGAGATGGCTTGAGTCTGAAAATAAAGGGATCAAGAATACAAACATCATTTTTCATCCAATTTAACATTGTTTTCACAGACCTTTTAGCACACAACAAGAGAGGATCCAGGGAAGAAGAGCTGAACCCCTAGAAGGAAGGCTTGTTTGAAACATCGTAATGCAGTAGATAGCTGAAAAAGCAACTGCACAGCTATACCTGGATGGCATCGTCCTCTGCAACTTCATAGAGGAGCTCATCATGGAGTTGGAGGATGAAGAAACCTCCGCTGATGGGATGTAACATCCCTCTGTTTCTCTTCCTTGCTAGCCTTCCTACACAGGTGAAGAGCACAGTTCATTAGATACCATTATGCAAAGGCATGTTTCCTGTAATTAAAAAACCTTCACACATTCCTAATGCTGAGAAAAAGAACATGAGGAACTTTAAAATTAAAAAGCCCATGCCTACAGATAAAACCATAAAACATTACTATTCTATCAATATTTGTACAGCTACTGAGGGAAAAATGTTAATGAAAAGCATTTTAGATATAAACATTTCAGCCTTACATTCTAAAGATATGAATCACAACAGAAACAAGAGACAGTTGCGTCTCCTGAACCATCTGTTTTAAAAGCAAATTTTAAACAAAATCATGTCAAGTTTAATGAGAATTTGGTTTACAATGTTCTCTCTGGCAATGAATTAGGATTCTGTTTTTCTTCCAAAATCATTTTAATGGCTAGTCTAAAAAGGCAGTAAGCCTCCTCCGAAATGCAGTTATCTGAAACTGTAGCTACTACTCCTGATTAAAAAAAGGAAAGAAAAAAAGAGCAGTTTTTGAATAAACAAGTAAGCAGCTGACAAAAACAGGATCCTGGTACGCCTTGCCTGACAAAAATAAAACAGAACAAACAGTTCCATGGTAAAAGCTTTTTTTAAAAAAATAAACAAACACAACCTCACACACACAGACTCAAAAGTTATTTATTTCTCAGGTTAACTACAGCAGGACCCCAGTTCACAACTACAGGAAGAGTTTCACAGCATCATCAGTTCTTCACACAAGCCTCACACTGAAGCAGAAGCGTTGAAGAAGCCACATGATGCAGGATGCTTTTCTGATGGCATAGGCATTTATAACTTGCTAAAAGAGAATTCCTTCCAGTTCTTGAAACTAGTATCAGAAGAGGAAAAACTGTCACACATGCATCTACTCGCCTTCCTACAATTACGTTGGCCAAAGGTCATTAGCTGCTGCTTCTGGAGGGGGTGGGAAGTTCTGCCAAGCACATGCCTTCTACTCATAGCAGACCTCTGATTCTTGCCTCTCTAAAATAAGACTCCCTGACACATTTTTAGAGGTTCGGCAATTAATTATTTAGTTTTCCTTCTCAGTCCTACAAATCAGACTCTTCGTATTAAGACAGCTTCATGTTTCAGGTTGAAGCATAAGAACTATCAAAGAAATATAGCACTCCATCCCTTAAGCTGTCTTTCTAAAAATATATGACTGATGAACAAAACACTGTCTACATTATGCTAAAAAAAATAGTCTTCATAGCACTCCTCTGGGAATGAGTACCCCAGCACAGCTTTGCTATCTGCAGCCAGAAGAAATTTATGCTAAGTACTTCATATAATACTCTTGTGGAGCCTCTGTACATCAAATTCCAGTCAACAAATTCCAGACTTAATTCTAACCAAAAAATGTATTTTTGGAACTAGAAGTTGTTCCACTCGATCTCTCCACTGCCTTTGAAGCCAGAGAATCTGCTCAGTTTCTCCTTCCTACTTTTGAACAATTCTGTGGTGGCATCATAGACCATATCACATATGAACTCCCACTGCCAACCTTTGCAAGATCTGCTTTGAGGCAATTGGGATTTCTGATCACAGCATTTGCTTTAGTTTGTGTCTTGAGCAGACATTCTCCCTCCTTCCTTATGACTTTTAAACACAGACTCATTAAACACAGACTTAACTGTTGTCAGGAAACAAAATGTCTCCCACCCCTAGCCCAAAGGCCCTAATGTTTTTTTGCAGGCAATTTTTTTTTTTTTTTAATTAGTAACACTGAAAGTTTTGCTCTAGTGTGCAAGGAAGAGGTGAGCATACCGGTCTTATCTCTCTGGAAGGAGCTCTCCAGATGTCCGTGGGACTTGATCACAGAGGAGAAAGCTTCCAGGCGTCTCTGAATGTTCACAGTGGCTGTTTTGACAATGTCTGCAGCAGATCCCTGAACAGTTGTATTCACAGCCTGTCGCTCTGCCTAAACAGATATATTTGTTCTCAAAATCCACCCAAAAAAATAAATCAAATCCAGCATGCCACAAGTACTTCATTAAAAACAATAAATACATGGCCAAATACAGGCATACTAAAATCTCCAGATAAAGAGTTTGTTATCCTGAAAGAAAGAGACATTGTAGACTAGCTTCAGACATAAAATTTCTCCAGGTGACTGAGAAGAGCCACAAATTCCACCAATTTAAAATTAATTAATATCAAGGGTAATAACCTGCAAGAGTCACAAGGCACAAGGAGAAGCATATACACATGGTAACATGTTTCATGAGGAGCAGAAAAATCTCACAGTTAATCCAAGTATCATGAGACACTTCTGCCTATCTTCAAAAGCATCAGGAATGGATAACCAAAGGCAAGAAACTGGACTTCATGGACTAATAATCTGGTCTACTGCCAGTTGTGCAAAAACACACCAGACCACACTATGACACATAACATTTTTTCTTCCACACAAGCAACCTCTCTACTAATCGCCTCCTCAGACAAGAAAACTGTATTCAAAGGTTCTTGTCTCTTTGATTAGAGCTGAAATGTGTGCAAAAAGTTATGAGGAAGCTGAAATGAAAGTGAAGATAATTCATTAACTGGTCTTTAATATGATTTTAAAGTTGAACAGAAGGTGCATCTACAAAGCTTCATGCTGAAGCATCCTTCAGATTAAATAGTCAAATAATCTCAAAAAAAAGTTTTTTGAAAGTCTCCTTGTGTCCCTTTCAACTACCTGGAGTACAAACTCCCCCACCTTCTCCCTCTTCCAGTCTAGTCTTTAATTCCACACGACCTGATCCAGCTTCCTACTGAGAAGTATAATGCTTCCTCCCCACCGAAATGCACCAACATCTCCCCAGGGAGTCAATCCACTCCTACTGAAGTAGAGTCTAAGACAGATGTGTCCGAAATGACCTGGAAAAAAAATAATGCCAGTGCAAAGGTGTATATTAAGTAAATATTTATCTAACAAGTTTGAGCAATTTTCCTTTGAGGGGAAATAAGAAAAGGAACAAACACCCAAAAATACAGGACTTAAATGCCCTTTCCTGTTCAAGTGCTGACAGCATATAACATACAAAGACTGCTGAGTGGGAGCAACTCAGCCTGAAGAGTTAAAGCACATCACTGTGTGGAGGCTTTTTAAAATCATGTCCACTTATTTCAATAAATTACTCACTCCAGTTCCTACATGGGAGATCTGAAGTGAGGTTAGCACAGTGATGACAACTGTACACCCAGTCACAGAAGACTTGTATCAAGCAGACCATGACAAAAGCTCTGTTATTCAGAAAACAACTGAGGGAACAATGAACTAACTGAGAAGTGAAAGGTCGTGACCAAGATGGTTCACAGACCCTGTAAAACCACAGATATGGATATGCAAAGAAATCTAATACTTGGGGGGGGTGGGGAAGGCACCGCACTCAACATACATGAGCTTTACTGTAGGGGTTTGGATCTTTGATAGCTGGCAGGTATCTCCGTCTTCCCAGAATGGTCTGCACAAACCCATCTCTCCTGCAGCTCCTCACTGTCTCCCTCAAGAATTTCTGAATCCCTGTGAAAGGAAAGAGAAAGTTTTCCCTCATACAGCTGACGTTCCATATTAACGTCTCACTGGAGTCACTGAAAATGGTCTGGGACACCCAAGCAGCACAAAGGTAATCCTTTAAATTTCCTAGACTCTGTCAGTGTACAAGGACACTCATTCAGCCCATTTGCAGCTCTGCTGGGAAACCTATTAAGACTTCTGAAGTAGAAGAGAGTGCATAGCGTCAGGATATCTGACTGTGCACAAGGAGGTAGGAAGTCCATTCTGCACAGCACCCAGGCACAGAGGATCATACATGTATTATCGATAATGGAGAGGTCAGGACCTGGACCAGCACTGGAAAGACAAGTAGTAGGAAGGGAGTAAGTTGAAAGCAGAAGTCGAAGCCCTTGATGTCTCAGGCTGCCTGTCTTCAGACTGTGTCACTTCAGATTCTAGGATGAAAGAAATTCGCCCACCTGCACTTTGCAAGGGAAGGAGTGGATCCACCGAGGGTGTTAAAAAGAAACTTAGGTCAAAGAAAGGTGAGACAGGGAAGAGTCCCTTTCACTGCAAGTTCAAGTAACAACTGCACTGAAGTAGAAAAAGTTAACTTCAGACAGTTTCTTTCCAAGGTTTACAAAATATAAAACATAAAAGGAGCTATTCAGGATCACGACTGATGGCATTAGTCAATTCATCAGGTATGTAATTTAGCATGTCAGCCTGGCAATACATATAAGTGAAAATTCATAACTGAAGTTACAATATAAGGTACATTGCAGAGTTTGTATGCATGCACATGTACCAAGGGGGAGGAAGCAGGAAGTCATTTCTAATGGTCATGAAGGAGACACTATCCAGAAATTACTGGAGACTAAACAGACTCTTAATAGGACACCATTTCTCAGCATCTGTCTCCTAAAGAAACAAACCCTGAATCTTCAGAATATAATTTTCCAGCTCATTTCCAAGTTTTATGATTAGAGCTAGCTGTCTCACATTCCATTTGCCCTCCATTCATTTTCTGATTGCAGCTCTATTCTTTCTATAGCTTTCCTAAAAATTAACATGCTTCTCAGAAATGCAACAATGTCTTTTTACAAAATATGGGAGAGCTGCTCTGAGCAGCTGGATAAAAATGTAAGGGTTCTATGCAAAACAGTTTAAAACTCAATGAAAGCAGAAGACAAGAACAGAAGAGAGAAATGGTTATATTTAAAAATTATAAGAAGTGTGGTCTAAAGTTGTATTGCATATCATTTAAAGCTGTGTGTTTTAATAAGGAAAAGTGTGTTTCCTATTCAGAAAGTAAAGAGCTTTAAAATGAATCCCCAGGGCTTATTAATTAATTAAAAAAACCAACAAAATAATTAATGTAATAAGCAAACAACAAGGTCCTAAAGATAAATAAAACCAGAGTATACGGTAAAACATTATGGAGTATTAAACTGCTGTGTTCATGTACTGGACTTTTTCAAAATGAAAAGCTTTTTCAAAAGAAATAGGAGTAGTAGAGGGCTGAGACAAATTTAGGATTTGAAGAGACATGGAGAGAAGGGATTAAAAACAACAACCACCACCACACAGCTCCCAAACAGCCATATCCAAACCTGTGTATCTTGATTTGAAGGATTCAATGTAATTGGCAGCTTCATTTTCATCAATTCCCATCTGCTCGCCTAAAGATTTTGCTCCTATTCCATAGATGATTCCATAGCAAATCTGCCAGAGGACAGTGTGAAGAACCACAACCATATGGTGAGCCATGCAGAGAAAGCAGAGCCAAAACAAAATGTGATTCACGGGAAGACAGGCGTATGGGAACAAGGATGAGCATTCAAGGAGAGAGACTATCTCCGAGTCCGAGCCATTCATGCTGTTTTTCTCCACCCTCATCCCCAAAACCCAGAGAGCTCCACTTGAAACTTATTGAGAGTGGGAGGACATACAAAGCAACTACTGAACAATCATAGCCGAACCCAAACAGAAAACCATACTACTGTGACTCCCTGATGTTTTGAACACCGAACCTTTCTGCCCAGAAAACTGCTGCTGAATTTTTTTTCCTAAAAACTACCTGTTTAGCTTGTTGCCTGGTCCTATCTCCAACAGCTTCAGGATCAATCATTTTCCATTCTGCTGCAATGCTCTTAAAGACATCAGTACCCTTGTTCAAGGCTTGGATGAGTCGACAGTCACAAGACAAATGAGCAAGGATCCTCAGTTCAAGCTGAGAGTAATCAGCAGCCAAGATTAAGCCACCTGAAGTCAACAGGGTAGCAGAAATCGTTATTTCATAAATTACTCCCAACAACATTCCAACCAACGTTCCAGCAAGAAGGACTGAAGCTGTCCTTGCACCTTCTGCTCTGAAAGTTTTCCACAGCCATTTCTATGCAACCTCAGTCTCCGTTTTCCTGCGAATACCATTAGGGGTTGCTTCTGCCACTGCTGAAAGTTGTGCCAATAAATAGTAGAAATTAAATCAGACAAATTCTTGCCTGTTTCCCCAGTGCCCAGGCCTGCTTGCTTTCCATCCAGCCCCTATATCTAGAATCCATCAAAACCACACAGACAAGTATCTGTGTGAAAGTCTAGCACCTGATAGGAATGACCGGCACAGAGATCAGACCAGCACACTTGTACTGAGCCAGGGCAAGCAACGTGAGAACTGACATTTGGATAGAAATAACACTAGATAGAGTGCAATTTGCATGTTAAGAGCTGCCTAAGTATAGCTCTTTAAAAGATATGTATTCTTAAAGAGGAAATGAAGGTGTGAACACTTGAATAATAACATTTGAATACTTTCCCCAGTTGAAACGCTCTCCTTTACAGTCTTGTGAATACTTTTAAGGGCATGCTAACTACTGCATTAGTTTCTCAAGTAGGCTGCTCAGTCAGATATATACTGTCATCAATTCTTAACTCTTCATTAGGATTTTTTGTTAAACATATTCTTAACATTTAGCTGGCACAGAGCAGGATCTGGGCATTACCTGGGAAGGGAACAAAGGCATGCCTCATGCTAACAGAAAACGGTATTCCTCTTTCTTCGGATCTGTCTTCAGCCTGAACTTTTAGGCCAATAGGCAAAATACTGGAACGCTTTCTGCATCTGTGGAGACAAAGAATGACTGTTCTTCACAACTTCTAAAACACTTCAAGATGCATAATCATTTTTGCCACAAAGAATCAGTGAAAACAAGTGAGACAATAGGCTCTATTCCACTCTTTCAGACAATCCATACCTAAATTTGACCATGGGGGAATTGGACAGAGGCCATATGCACACCTGAAGGGATTTATTGACTCTAAACAGATTTAGGGATAAATCTTCCTGGTACATTCAGGGTTTGATCCAGAAATTGGATAATTCCACTCCAAAACAGGTTAAGATGAAAGACCCCAGATCTGTGATGGGTGCATTCCAGGAAGATAGCAAAGGAGTCCTACAGGAATCCTAAAAATTCAACATCCCACGTTGAATGCCATGTGTTCTCTCAACATAATTCTCGTATGCAGAATGCCTACACCAGCCCATACCTAGTAGAGACAGAAAAGATTTCCCACACATCAGCCTCATGACTGCGTGCACACACAGACACAAGTAAGCCTGTAAAAGCAGAGCAGAAGACGTGCTCATAAAACACTGCACATTTCCTCTCTACAGGCTGAGCAAAAAGTTGCCTCAAAGCAACGAGATTTTCTTTTTCCAGAAGGCCAGAAGTTTACAGTGGCACCAGTTGCTCTGCAGCCTCTCAGGGCTTGCTTAGCTCTCCTGTCCCACCAAGTCACTTGTAGCTGCGGATGGAATTGTATCCATCAGTGCACCCACTGAACAGTGCACAGCTGTGACACCATTCACACTTCCTACTCCCATCAGCACCAGCCTACCAGCCAGGCCGTTGGGTTCTTTGCTGGAAGTGCAGTCAAAGGCCTTTACAAGCCCTTGATGTCTGGGTCAGGGATCTGAGCAATTTTTTTTATCAGAATGGAAAGGTATCTCTGTGATCAAGGCTAGTTTCAGCAAAGCAAAGCACAGAAAAGACATCATGCTCTCTTCCCTTGTGCACTCCCTTTTCTTCTTATACCTTGTCATTTCAGGGATGGTAGGGATCAAGGAGATGAAAGATAGCACAAAAATCACAGAAATAAATTTTCAAAAGAAATAAAGGTGAAGGACAACATATGGGAACTGTAGAGAATCACACTGTCCAGCAGAAGTTCCCAATTTAGTTGAATGAGTAAGGGCTTTATACCATGATCTAATTTAGCTACACTCCGTTGGTCAGAAGCTTCTTACAACTAGAGGAAGGAGTTGTAATAGTAATTACTAAGATAAAAGACAGTTTGGACCAAAGTTTGGAAGGCCTATCAGACTTAGGCTGCATGACAGCTGCTTTTGTGCCAGCAGTCATTTCTGTGCCTTTAGGATTGCCCATCTTGCTAACACAGTGGCTACTTAACTAAGGAATGTAGACTCAAAAGTCAGCCTGAGAAGCTGACCTCTCTCAAAGTTCAGCACGCACTCTCTTCCTTTGATGGGCTGCTTCTCTACCGGGAAGACTTAAGAACCCAGCCCACTCTCCAACTGTCCTGCAAAGCTGCTGCAAGCCTGAGCACTGCCAGAGCTATTTCTCAGAACAACATTTCTGCCTCCATGGCTAGGCCTGGTTCTTCTCCTGAAGAGAGATGGACAAGATCCTGCTACTCCTGGGCTCTCTTCCCATTACCTACTCAAGGCGCAATGATGCTAGACACGTGGTGGTAGGAAAAGACAGATAGAAGGGCCAAAATACAAAAGCTCACAAGCTAGCTGCTAAAAGATCCACCTTGATATTTCACTAGACTTCCATGCAATGTTTAGGCATTGGCATCTAATGCTGTCAAAATAGGGCGTTTGGTTAACAGAAACCAGATTTAGAAATCTTTTTCTGCTACCTGGTAGCTTTTGCATGATCATTATCACAAATGAAATTTTTAACAAAAAATGAAAAATATGTTCACCCACGTTCCCTTACACAGGGAGCTGCACAGCATAAAACAGATGAACTTTCTTCTACTTCTTCCACAATATCCTATCCTTTTTCAGAGCAGCTCTTAGAAAGTCAAACCAGATCCTAACTTCAGTTTAGTTACTTTTCACATTCAGGCTTTTTATCCAACAGTGGGAGCACAATGCTAATCTCACTGTAGGGTTTCACAAAGAATTTCAAAAAGCAAGTGGCTATATGGAGCCATATGCTGTTAGTATTATTAGGTCTTTCACGTGTCACTGATTTTTAGGTATTTATTCCCCTGAAACTGTAAGGGAAACACTGAGTAACAAGTCACACTGACATGACAGCAGCCACAGGTGAAGTCAGAAAAGAGAAATTTGACAACCACATTAAGATCAGAAGAGTAGGCAGAAGCTTTGCCAAGATCCTCCTACCTGCCCGCAGAAAGAGCATGACAATTAACATTTGCATGGGCTCGGGAAGGTGGGCTTTCTTCAACCACAGTTGGCATTTCAATCTCAAAATCTCTTGGCACGTTCTGGATATTTGGCTCTGTGAAGGTTATTCGACCTGAGAAGGAAGACAAGGCAGAACTAAGTAAGGGTCCAAAAGGAATCTCTCTAACTTAACACAACTGAACACACACCTGCATCTCCAAAAACCAAGGGGCAGGAGGGTGGGACAGGACACGACCACTGAGAAAATTGAAGAAAAGGAAAAATAATTTGGGTTGAATGGGCTTGAGATGGCTCCCCGGCAGCATTTCTGTATCACTAATAACAAATTCCCAAATCCAGAACCTGTTTTGGGGTCAGAGATTTACATGCTAATATGTGCAAGAAATGAATAATGCTGCTCGGTGAACACAAAAGCTGTTTTAATACATCTAAACTTTCAGGGCAGATTCATGTGAAATAGGTATTTCAGTATTTTCATTTGGTTGAAGTAGAGCACAGACTTGATTTCCTATCTTTTCCCCACAGAAAAGCTGCCCACACACACACAAAGAAAAAAAATCAGTTAAGTGAGGATTTTGTATGCATTTGTTCACCTGTAGCTGTGTGAGTCTGTGACACTGGATATATCCTTTCCATTCCCAGTGCGGAATTCAATCGCTTTTCCCTCTGTAGTGGAAACACCACTTTAGTAATGGCATTGTTGATCCTCCTCCATTCCAGTATCAGCCCTGGCAATGGGTGAAGTGTCTTTAATTTCTCCAAAACATCCTTGTGGGGAGAAAAGGGCACAACAATAATTAACTGCCTTAAAAGCTTTATAAATAAAGTTTTTGCAGTTCTGCAGGAAAAAGTGACTCCTCCACCCACAGTGAGCTTCTAGTATCACTGCCTTAAAATTAAACAGATATCCCCTCCACTTATACCACCTACACCTGGGCAATAAAAGCACCATGAGACACGCCTGCAGTTTTATTACACACAAGAAGGCAATCACTTCTCTTTGGACTTTTGCATCCTCATCACCACTCTTAGTCTGCACCAACCAGTAAGTCACCTGAAATGATCAAATAAAGCATCACTTGCCATAGGTCCCCTACGCTGTCTCCTCTTGCCCGGCATTAATGCTCCTCCATCTTCCTGTGTATTTTTCTCCCTGCTCTCTCCTATCCGTACACTAGGAACACATAAAATGAAGCCCTTGACCACGCTCCTTGAAAGACAAAGCTGATCACTAGCAATCAAATCCTTTCAGTTAAACCAGAAATATGAAGGGACGAACAAGAATTTCAAAAGACAGTGGCATGCAAACGTTTCTCAAAATAACAGTTTTTTGTATGCAGCAGGCAGCTGCAGCCTCATGTCTCCACATCCCAAAAGGAGGAAATCCTCACTCTGCTTGTTGCTCCCTGCTCCCACCACCGCGCTCACTTCTTCACTGCCACATGAGTTTCTGAAATCAATACTTGTCTTCCAAGCACTGACTACACTGAACAAGGGGAAACTAAGAAAACAACACAGATTAATGAGTCCTGAAAACAGGGAACATATATATCTGCTAATATCACTTGTCTGGCAAAAGCACCCATTAGCCTGCAGCAGTTGGTATTAACGCAGCTCCACAATATTTATCAACTGGCAAGCATGTCAATAGCCTTCACATATATACAACCTTTTGATATATTAAATTTGATAAGCCATCAGATCAGCCATTCTGAAGACAAACTCTCTGAAGCACAAAATACAAATATGGTAGTACCAGATAGAGGAAATACTGTATTTAATCACCATGGTATTTAAGTATCTTTCAAGCTGATTTTGAAAAATTCTTCTACTATTGGCTTTACAAAATTATTGTGCTATTTTGCTCTTACATGTGGTTTGGGAAACCAAATTCTGCCTGATTTATTCTCATTGAAGCCTGCTATTTATAGTCATGCCCTCACTACACTCAAGCTTTAGGAGAATAGGAGTTAATAACTCTGCTAACAGAGAAGAGAGAATCCAGTATGAATTTCCAGTGGTAACTGGAGGAGCAAACGGCGGTTAAAATTTACTTTCATTTAAGTCAGTATACCTAACTCCAATGTAAGCAGCAGATGTGTGAAGTGAGAGGGAGTTATTTTTACAGTCACTTTCAGACTCAAACCAGACTTTACTGTACCTTGGTTGTACTGAACTGCTTGCTCAACCTAACCCTGTTTCCCTTAGCAGTTGTTCTTCTGGTGTAACCCAGAGTTCTCTTGTTCCCTTGAATTTTCACATCTCCATTTTGCGGCAACTTCAGCTCCAGGAACAAAACCTGAAAAAGGCCAGCACCAGCATTTCAAATCAGTTTCTGCATGCTACTCCCAGGAGAAAACAAAAAGCAACTGAGCACTTAAACAGCTTGTTCCAACCAAAGGATAGTACGAATGCTCCGGGTAATTAAAAAGCTGATTAAAGAGCTCTGCTATCAAAGTCATCCCTCCTCATTTTAATTAACTACAAAATGCAATCTAAAATCTCATTTTCTAAACACTATAAGTTTGAGTTCAAAGGTATGTTTTTAGAAAAGGTAATTAACTCCATCATATAAGTGAGGTTACTGCTGACAGTCAACTGTAATAAAACGTGATGTTAAAATGACTAAAAGTGAGAAGAACATTGGTGAAAAAAAGAAGCGTTAGCAGGGAGCAGGCTTCAGAGCAACATGAATGACATAGAAGGAGGTGGTCACAAATACCTTTTATAAAATAACCTGAATGTTAGTTTTTCTAAAAATTGCCAATAACTGGAAAATTACATATATGCTCACTTGTTGACAGATACAACACAGCTCTTCATTTTTCTTTCTAAGTTTCTATGTAGCATTATACACTATTGAACAGCTATTCTGCTTCATTTCACAGTTGGCAGAAAGGAACAGAAGCTTTTCTCTCACACATTTATGTAGCACAAAAGTTTTACTGACACAAAATTAGAAGGGTAAAGCTCTACTAACCTAGATAAGATAGTTTACATGATTCCTAACAAAATTTCCATGTGAGAAATAAGCTTCTGTAGTTCAGAGAACAGCATTTCAGAAGAAACTTTCATTCCCCTTTTCCATGAAGCAGAGTGAAATTGGAGCCAAGCATTATTTCAGGAGTTCTAACTCAGACTACTGTTACCAAGTAAAACTTCTGCATTTGCAACAAAGGAGGAATATTTCTGTGGAACTTCTTTTAGTGATGGGTGCTTGCAAATTTTGACTACTTCCATATAAAGTATAGCCCCTCAGCAAGAAATTAGTATATGGAGAAGAAATAAATGAGGAAAAAAAGCATGCATAGCAATTATAATCTATTCCTATGATTCCACGTAAAAAATATATGGTAAAGTTCTTCAGGAATAAAAGTATTGCTAATTTACATAGAAATCTGTTTCTTAGGCTTAAAAAAAAAAAAATCAGTTTCTATACAGGTTCTTAAAAACAGACAGTAGTTGATTCAGAACTTCTAAAGCAGCCTTTCCTCCTCTTTCATGCCTGTATAGGGACAAGGGCAACAATGCAACTTATCCAGTACAACTATTCTTAGACTCAGACTACATGATATCACATTACATTTCGTGAGCAGAATACTGGTATTGCAAAAAAGCTTCTCTAGTCCCACACCATTCATCCAAAATATTCCAAAAGCCATTTAATTGGCAGATCATCACATGCACCATGAGAAGCCAAGGTCCTATACAAACAACGTGCTTATTTCCACTTGTTTTTTATTTCCAACATGCTTATTTCCACTTCTACCTTCTTTATTTCTGCTGAAGTCAGCAGAAATCAGAATGATCGGTAACAAGCATGAGATGCTTGCAGGCAGCAAGCTCATAACGAGCGTAAAGACAAATCAACTCTCAGCAGAGTTCAATTTGCATTTTGTGTTTTCTTCATACTTAGTCTGCCCAAGAAGGTTTTTTCTTAAGTCTAAGCAAAAGCCTCTTGAGGGAAACTTCTGAGAAGGTTCTCCCCCTCCCACGCTAACCTTCACATACCTCTGCAATGTCATCAGGGCTGGTCAAGGAGAAGCTGTGGCCTGCCAGCTGATATGCCTTGGTCTCAATCTCGCTCAGTTTAGCTTGCATGACCTGTTTCTGGGTTTCATATGCTGTTGTACTAAAACCAATGCCATTCAGCTCCAGCAGAGCCAAGCAATAATGGGTGGGCATCTCCACTTTAGAAAATACTTCTGTAGTAAGTAAAAACCCCAAGAAAATCTTTTATAACATCAAAACCAAATCAACTGCAGATCAACAGATTCATAAAAAAACAACCGGGCAATCCTCAGTTTTTAAAATCCTGAATGTCCTGACACACTGAAATCTTTCCATACAGATTTAGTTTAAATACTTTTGTTTCTGGAATATTTCATAGTAAGAAGTATTTCACAATAAAAAGTATTCCAGAACTTTTTATCACAAAAGTATTTAAGAGAATAACAACTTCTGTCAAATTTTTTTTTCCTAAGTAATACACATCTCTTTGTATATTAACATTTTATAAGCCACAGACATGCTTAATGTAAAGCTTTCTAACTTGATACACTTTCATTCTACCACCCACATCTTTTAAAAATGTTCTAAGGTTTAGTTGTCACGATCATAAATAAACTTGCAATAATAGACTTCATTGAGACTGAATTTTAATCTTAGGCTTTGGATGCAATTTAGGGGAAACAATCATATAGCTCACCAATAGGTATGTGCTTTTTGAGGTTTTTTTTGTTTGCTTGTTTTTAAAAAGAGACAAGCACTCAGAATATATTAGTGCAAACATACTGGATCATTCACTGTGGGATCACAAAAGTTTCATGGACACAACACATACGTGGCAAACAATGCTATACGGGCAGGCCAAAGAGCAAGAAATCTCCTTCAGAAAACATTTGAGGATTGCTTCTGACAAGGAAATGCAAAAGCTTTTGAAAACGTTCATAAGAAACCAGACAGACTCACAAGCCCCCTCAGAATGGCGAGGGTACTCACCTGGGAGGTAAAGATCTGCTTGATTCAGAGACTTAAAATAGACTCTGCTATTGCCTTAACCAATGGAACTGGTGGGTATTTGGGATATAGCAATTATATTTTAATTTAAAATTTAATTCAAATTTTTGACAAAACAGATGTAGTCCAAGGGAAGTTCCATCTTTTTTTTTTAAACAAATCAGCATTTTGCCACAGAATATACTTAGATAAGAACTTCCAAATCTCCTCTCTTCTCCACCGATCATTCAGCTGTGGTAACACAGCTACCTTTACTCTCCATCTTTGTCCCCAAGTGGAGGAGCTCTCTTTACCTGTCAGATTTTCCTTCTGTAATTCATTATGGAGTTGGTTCATGACACTGAAGACAAGCACAGACTCTATTGCTGCTCTGTACCGCCCAGAATGATCTCCGCTGGCACTAAGCCCCAGGCTCTGCACACCTTGGCCGGTGCCTACCCCTTCCAGTAGAGGTAACTCGTTGGGGAGAAAGTTAGTCACCATGTTGTGAAGTGTACGTTCCTTAGAGCCAGAATCAAGCAGCCAACATGCAACCTTAAAAAGGAAGACATCCGTGAGACCTTTTTTCCAATTTAGTCATAATATAATGTAAATATTTAACTGGGAGTTAATGCAAGGTTATAGGGCAGATTATTTTTCTTGATTTGGCAGGCAGAGTGGAATAATTTGTGGAAATGTTACATGACTTCAGATAAAACCTTCGAGAGGGCATAAGTCACTGAAAAGCTTCATTCTCACTCAAAGTTAATTCTGCACATTTGAAAACCTTACCCTCTGTCAACTAAACACATCTCAAAGCGTTGTCCTCAGGTTTTAAAGCTAACACAAAGGGGATTAAATATGAATATCAGGATCTGACTTTGTAAAAATCAGAACTTGCTATTGATCTAGAATATTAGTCAAACTGAGCTCTCCTATTTTTTTTGCACATCAGCACTAGCACCAAGAATTCAGCAAGGCAAATTTTATTCTCGGTGAGCCTCATACCTCCCACTGTCTTCAAAGCAATTTCACTTATAGCTATATTTCAACTTCTTGTGTCAAAATAGGATGAAACACAGTTTTCTGCATTGTCTCTGCCATGCAAGCAGAAGGTAAAAACCACATATATAAGTACGGATGTGTGGGGGTGTGTGTATGCATGTATATATTCATTGCATCAGTAAAATGAACAAGTATGAGTAAGGCTCCATTTAATACATGGAATAGTGCAGGGAAAGGTTCTACTTTCATTGCTCTTTAATTTTATCCTAAAACTATGCATTGGTACGAAAAGCTAAGTTTGTCCTTGTGTTGAACAGCTTAGCTACTTCCCTGCAGACTTTAACATTGCCAGGATGCTACTCCAGGATGTATGATGCAAGCTTTAAAAATCAACAGCAGAAATTTCTATGCATCTAGAGCTTTTCCTAACAAGGACAAGAAGGCGCTTTTACCTCTTTCTAGTGTTTCATTTGAGTTACAAATGGTACTCGAGAACCTTTTGAAATCACATGTAAACTTTGTTTCATTTTGAGAAAATAGTGGTAGCAAGGTGGTCCATACACATAGCAGGTAAATCTTTTGCTTACAAAGCCTTCTGCTCTCAGAATCGATAATCTGACCAGAAGCACTTCCGACATTTTAGTCCCAGGCTTCTTACAGCAACAAAACAAGAGTTCAGCTCCCCTGGGACAGGGGAGAGATTTAAACTCATCCTCCCCACCCAAGAAATCAGGCGTGAAAGATTAATGTGTTAACCTATCACTGAACCTGCTCTGTTTCTCTTGCAGGCACCATGAACACACATAGCGAAAGAACTCTCCTCTAAGTACTGTTCTACATTTCCCACTGGAAGAAAGTTTCACTAAACCCCCTGACAGGTGTGCATATTCAAATCTAAATAACAGAAGGAAAGCACCAGAAGGTACTCCTGTCGTTCTACTAGTGTGTTTAAACTAGCAGTTTTACCCAAGCTAGATTTCTTAATCCTGCAAACCTTTGGGTCCTCAAAACTTCCTTCCAAGGAGATGCCACAAGCCATCACCAGAGTCTTGTAGTGCTGAATGAAGTTATACACAACAAGTGAGCGCTCCTGCTTGGGCTTCTTCTGCAGGTACAGCTGCAGATGATACAGTCTCTCTGTTACAGACAGGTTTTTGTCCAAAGGTGGCGGTGCCAAACTCATACTGATTTCTAAGGCAGGAAATACAAGCGAAAAATCATCTTTTTACCCACTGCTGTCATAAGAAAGGCAAGAGAAAAACCTTGAATGCAATCACCTAAAGCACAAAAACTACAGTTGGACTGTGAACAAATAACAATCTATACCAATATTATATATTTTATCAAACCAGACAAGGATCCCAAAAGCAATATGCTGTGTCTGTACTACTAAACAAAGGAGAGCCAGGAATCAAACCCTAGCCATGAGCCCATGTAGCACAGATTGGGTTATGTTCAGCATTCAAGTGTCAGATTTGTTCTGGAGAGCAAAAATTGGAAGAGGTTGAAAGAGAAAAGCAAGTAAGCTAAAGAGAACATGGGAGTAAGCTAACATTTTAGCAATATGCATGCTCAGCAGTCCAGTGCTTGAGCCAGCTACCTGGCATTATATAGCAGCATAAATGTATCCACAGCAACATGTTCAAGGGTGTCCAACACTTAAGACTGCTGAATAATATGGCTAAATCACTCCACCACACAACTGAGCTGGGTTTGGGACACTTAAAACACTTCCAAGAACCTATCTGCTGAAGGTACTTTCTTGAAATGCAGTGACATGTAACAGAGCACAGCCTGTCTGCTCACTTACCAGTCTGGTCTTGTCTCTGCTGCAGAGAGATATAGTAGGCATCTTTTCCACCCCAACATACTGCCAGTCCAACTACCAAGATGTCTTCGTAGCCTTGGACAGGAAATCCGTCATCTTTAACTTGCATCCACTGAGGAGAACTTACTAAAGGAATAATTTTTAAGTTACAATTACAAAATGGTATCCATAAATACAGAAGAGTTTGGATCCTGAAAATGTAAATACATACAGTTGAGCCTAAATTTCTTAAAAGTTAATATATACTTTCATTTTTATCTATAGGGAGAAAAATCTGTGTTTCTTCTGGGGAAAAAAACCCCAAAACCAAACATGTTTAAAATAGCAAAACTTTCTCTTAACAGAAACACCCATATATCATATGCTAACACTTCATTACTATCACCAAAGACCTACCAATGAAATGCTTGACACTAATTCTCCATCCTCTACTACCACTCAGCTCCTTTGCTTTACTGAGACTGACAATATTCAATTAGTATCAGTAATTTCCCTCCTTTTTTGCAAACCCTTTCCTTCTCCACTCCTGCTTTAAGCTGAAGATGCCACCCTGCTGTTCACAAAATAATGCGCTGAACACAGAACTGACCTTTTTTGAATTTGCCACCAATCGTTGATTTGGGAGACAAAAGACATTTTGTTCTTTCGCATGCCACTGAGATGGAGAATCTGCTTTTCTCCTTCCATTCTGCAACAAAAGTCTGGAAAAGTGCTTTGTCGCTTGCTACATCAATAATAGTGAAACTTTCAGCACTTAAGGGAACAAGTGGAAAAACATCCTGAGATAGCTGCAGTGAAAAGCCTTGGTCTATAGTGGAATCATCTTTTATCTCATCAGTCTCAATTGGGTCTACACTCCCAGGATTGACCTGGAGTGTTTTTACCTGCTGCTCTGCATTGCCCTTGCTATTCTGCAGTGGCTCAATCAGCTGCCCTTCATTCACGCAGGCGACTTGTCTCTTCCTTGCAGATTTCACAGAGAGAGAAACGGAACTCCTTGGAAAAAGCTCTTTGGGAGGTGTTGGAGGAATAAACCCGTTATTACTATCTGGTGGAGGACAGGATGTTCTGTTGCTTCCCTTGAGTGGAAGTGTTACGCAGTCTGTTTTCTGAAGATTCAAGTTTTCCATTTTGTTTTCTTTAACCTTGAAAGAGCTTTTTAAATCCTGGCAAGTGGGCAAAGGCTCTGGCTGACAACAGTCAGATTCAAAGACTGGATCTGGCTCTTGATTAACACCAGGAGCAACTAACTTTCCTTTCAAACAGGAGCTTACTGAAACCGATTCAGTGCCTGAGGGACTAGGCCATTTGTCTAATACATCCTGCAATCCTGGGCTTAGTTCAAACGAGTGTTCAGTCCACACCACTGGATGGGTTTTCTTGTCTAAAGCTTGCTGGCTTCTCTGGAGCTTTTCACCTTGATCTCCTACTAATTCCTTTGGTCTGCAGACATTGTTACAAATCACTGGGTTTCTTAATCCTGGCTGACCATGAAGTGTAGAAGGAAGATCTTCCAAAAAAGATGGGGAATTTGCATGATCTAAAACTTCAGCTATTAGATCAGAGAATGCTAGAGACACAACATCACACTGCGCAGGATTCTCATGCTCTTTCTGGTTGCTACTGACATCAAATTTATTCTGAACAGGTCTTAGGTTCTGCAAAAGACCATCTGGAGGAAGCAAAGCCTCTTGCTTCTCCACAGGGTCCTTTCTGTCAGCTTCTGTGATGTGAACAGCTGAAAGGTCACTGACATTACTAAAGCTATCATCAAACAGCAAGCTATCACTCATATTCAGGCTTGTTTCAGGGACAGGGTGGCATTCTACTTGTACAATGTGCTCCCTATCAAAATGGGAGGTTGCTTTACTAGAGTCTTTAGACACACTCTCTGAACTTTGGGTCTGGTAATCTTGTAGAAAACTGTGTAGCTGGGAGTCGGTCACTGAGAAATCGGTTTCTTTAAGGCAAGGTGCAGATTTTATTTCCTTCGCTACAGGCTGTAAATTATGGCCTCCAGACTCCAAAACTTTATTACTGCAGTGCTGAGCTGTGTTTTTTGTAATGTTATGTGTTGTGATAAGACTCGATAAGCCCAGTTTCCTAACTGTTGCAGCCAGCCTTTCATCAGTAGCATTCTCAGTCCGTGAAGTGCTTAGTTTCTTGGAGATTTCCTGCCGTGGTATTGCTGCCAGCTCTGAACCTTGTATTCCCTGCTGTCCTGTGATTCCAGCTGCTCCCTCCTGTTTTATTATCATCTCAGTTTGAGTATCCAACTGGAAGCTATCTTCAAAGTCCCTAGAGTCAGAAAACTGATCAGAGGATGAACCATTCTGAACATCATCTGCATTGCAAACGCCTCTGGATTTTACTAGAGTGTCTTTCAGAAAATCCTTAAGATGACTGCTGGCTTTCTGCAGTGCTCCAGCTTGTAACAATATTCCATTAGGCTTTTCGCTCCCATTTTTGCCACCATTCTGAATCTGAATATGGCAGGATATATCCTCAGCAGGACAAAAATGCACAGGCTTCCGTATCCTGCTGCCACTATGGACGTGTCCACTTCTAGAGCAGCTAGCAGTTACGTTACAGTGATCTGTGTCTACAGCCATCTGCTGCTTACCAATCATCACCTCAGCACAGCTAGCATCTGTTTGCATTTTATTAATTTTATTCTGCTTATCATTGGTATTTTCATTTCTCTGTGTCCTAGCACTACTAGGTATTAACAATCTTTCTACAATATTATGGGTCTCCACATTGATGTGTGGAGTACCCTGCAATGTAACAGGTGCCTGAAAACATGCTCTCCCCTTAGGCATGCCTTCATTAGTGGTGGTAGGCTCTGTAAATAATCCTTCCATTTTATATTTCCTCCCAAGATTAATTTCCCCCATCTGTACAGAATTTGCGACTTTATGAGTTATAGACCCTGTTTCCATAAATTCCTTATTATTTTGGTCTGAAAAAAAAAAATCTTTAGAGATGGTGGGGTGGAAAGCAGGTGGCTTTTGTACGTCTATGCTAAGCATATTTGAATCTTCAAGAAGTGACCTCTGCAGTTTTGAAGCAGTATTTTTGTTCCTAGTCCGGTTTAAATGCATGTCCGTACTTTTTATCAATCTAGAGGCTGAAGACTTTGTTCTCAATGTTGGCGTTTTCCCTTGTTCAGTAGGGAGTTCTGGAATTGCTCTCCTGGAATCCATCTTGGTTTTGACCAGAGAAATTCCTGCTACATTTTCATTATCTCTGCACATAGTTGGCCGTTTTCTAGCACTGTACACAATATCATCACTGCCTTCCTCTGCTCGAGCCTGTCTCCTGCCTGGGACTTCACACTCAAATCTGGAGTTTTCTGTACTACCGCTTAGTCTCCTTTTATATCCCTTTTTAATATTTGATAAGTTTCCAGTCTGAGAACCAAGGCCATTACAATGTTGAACTCTACACCCTTTTTTGTTTAACGCCGTAGAAGACTCAGAAGACTGCTCTCCATTTGATCTGCCTAGTCTGTGTTCCAGTTCTGACTCACTGCTCATCATAGAGGATGTATCAGACTCGAGAAGAGACTCTGGGTTCCATTGCACTCCCATCAGTGCCAAATCCTCCTGGAGAAGTCCCCTGGCTTCCTCCACAATGAGGGAAGCTGCTTCTCTTTCGGTTAAGCCTTTCATTCCAGCCATCCAGATGCTGCGCGCAGTCCGACGCTCCTCTGCTGATTCTTCATCTTCATCCACAGCCCTACGAACACTATGGGAAAGGTAACAGACAGATGTAAACATTCATGCAGAAAATAACAAACGACACAAGGAGCTGGCACTATTCTGCTCCGCTCCCATTTCAATTAGCTTCACAGCTTCGTAGCTTCAAAGAAGCACTATATCCAAAACACATTGCACTTAATAGGAAATAACTATTTCAGTTTTCTGTATGAGAATTGATGTCGATGAAAGATATTACTGGCTGCATACCCCAGAAGCATTCCCAGGTTTCTGTGTCCAAACATGTACCCCAGAGAAGTCCAAACTCTCTACTAGGGCAAGATCCAGGTATGAATCAATCCTCCATGCACTGTTTTCCAAAGAAAGGAAACATGAGCATGAACCAGATAGGTATCATGGCACAGTCCGACAGGTACTTGATCAAGGAAGCTTGTCATTGCACTAACATGAAAATCATAAGAGAATCTCAAATGATATACAGTAATAAATCATCAACTCATTTGATCATATAGTGGAGCTGCCTTTCAGAGGCAGCAAAAGGTCTCCAGAAAGCATTAGCAATTCACCCAGGACTAAACAGTGCATTGAAAAGAGGAACAAGAAGAAAATTTAGGTCTCACAAACTCATGCTGCAAATAAAAGATGCTTCTATTAATTTCAAAATAATCATGTAATGATTGTGATCAGTCACAGAGACCTACAAGTTATTTCTAACTAACGTTTGGCACCAAGTCCCAAAAGGTTGCCAGATTTAATTACAGGTTTCATCCTGTAATTCTTCACATTACAAACTCCTTTACTTGACTTCTAGACTTACTGATTTCTCACCTTTTGAATGGTACTGAATTCTTCAGAGCAGTTGCCACATCATCAGGACTGGCTTTAGCAAGATCAGCCACTGTGACAAAGCCAGCGTTGTAAAGCATCCTAGCACAACGTGCATTCAGCAAAGACACTCGTACCAGGTCACAAAGCTCCCTATGAACCCCAAAAGTGAGGCGGCTCTGGAACTGAGAGAGCAACAGCTCCATGTTGTGCCAGCCCAGTCGATTACAGAAAACCGTTACCATTCCTGGAACACAGAAGTTATATCAATGTTTTAACTCCAGCTCCAGTTCTACTACGCTGGATCCATTTTTCCCCCCTCATCTGAACAGGCATTCACTTTACATTTCTCACTTTCCCATTACTTATAGAAACTAACTCATGTTTATCATAACTATGACTGGGAGCTGGTCTCACAGAACTCAACTTAATCTAGAATTAACTGTGTTTATCAGTGGTGAGGTAGAAATTCTGAATAACAAGTGCTTTTCCAAAGACGCTAATCTTGAAAGTGTGAAGCACATGCATATCCTGTAACAGGATTCTTACGAGCCAAACACACTGAAGAAAAGAAGACAGAAAAAATAGTGATGAGAGGCACTAAAAGAAGCCACAGATCTTTGAGGAAAGCCGGCACTGATGTCCGTAAGATCAGAACTTGGTCTGCAGAACTTCAGTTACTGAGAGTACCACAGGAGGTAGCAAAGCCTGTGATAAAGGCTATAACTGCACTCCCCAACACATGGGAGAAGGAAAAGAGCAGGGAAAGACAGTTTATTACTCACACATTGCATCTACAGAATATGAAAATAACTGGAAGACATGGCATCCCTCACTATTTTTATAGTGATTATAGACTACAACTTGTATCATATCTCTTAACTCTCTGTCATGTCAACAGTTCATTTTACTTCCCAAATTACTTTTGTTCCTGCACTGATCTACCTGATTGCTGAAAATGATTAACACAGGGAATAGAGAATTATGAAACTGCTACAACAAAAAGTTATTTATACCACCAGAATGAATTTGAACTACTCTGCATCAGTTGGCATGACCTTTTCATTTTGGGGTTTTGACTCATGCTGCAACCCACACATAGGGTTTCGCAAGTTGAGCTAAAACTGTCTTAAAAATTGAAGACCCACTTACGGAGTAATTGAGGATTTAGGCAATAGAAAAAAAAAAAAAATCTCAGTCACAGGATGGGCTGTTACTTCTACTCCGACACAGCCCTCTTAAGGAAGTTAAGTTAAAGGTGACAGCTATCTGACCTCTTGTTATCTGGTGATAAATGACCCAGAAACTACTCACTCTGTTTTGAAAACTATAAACTTATACTTTCTGGCCAATTAACTTTGCAACCAGGAGAAACTCATGCCAAGTCTTAGAGACCCCAAACTTTACCCATGCTGAAAGGTACTCTTTCCTGATAGAGCAAAGCTTCAGAACGGATTTGTACTTAATTTCCATACTTAGTATTGAACAAAATATATTCCTGCACAGTACACAGATGATTTCCACAGACCTCAGCATGCTACAGCACTGCTTAATTCCACTTAGCTGGCTCCCTTCCCACAGCACACTCTGTGGTTCCATCTCAAAGCAGGGGCAACCACAGATTATAAGCTATAAAGCTGGAAGTGGTTTTACAAGACTGATAGTTGTTAGTACCACACTGCGGCTGTCTTACCCCCATATATAGAAGGAAAGAAAACAGACTAGCCTCAGACTCCTGAGGGTTTTTTGCCCAAACAACTCACCCGCATAGGTGGCAGCAGACTGCTGCAAGGATTGAAGTTGGCCACGACTACATCCGTATTTCTTGGTCATATCCTTTAAGGGAACCTCACTGATTAAATCCACAAGGGCAAGACTGGTGAAAAACCTGTAGAAAAAGTATACATGGAAATAAAATCATCATCCAGGGCACGTTAGTGTACATGGCAAAATGCACTGTGACAGCATAGGACAGAATGGTACTATCGCATAGCACACAAAAGAAGCAGGGAAGATGGCTTCCAAAAACATCAGCACAAACATCTTGTGCCAGCAGTGTTCTCAGTCCAGAGCAGACCAGGTCCAGGTTCTCTGAGCTATCAGCTCACTCAGCAAGAGAGCCAGTTCCTGAAAACAGACACGGAGCCTGTCCCCTCCACGTGTTACAGCTTCTAGTCTTTGCACATTCACACCCATTTGTGGCTACCTTTTGTGGATGGCCATTTGTCTATGCTGTTTCTCTGTTTTAGCTATGATTTTGCCCTTTATAGAGCGAGCCAGAAAGCCTTCTTCAATCCCCACCAGCTCGGCCACACGTTTCATGGAGGCAGGCAGCTTCTCCCATAAGCAGAAAAACTGGTACCAATCAATTGTGGTCCAATCCTCATACACTGGGGTGATCTAAAGAAAATAAGACAATGCAAAAAAATATTTCAGAGAAACAAACAGAACAGAGCCCTGGGTAAATAAAAATACAGCCTAGAGAATTTGGTTAGAGCATCCTACGCACTACTCTGAGGCACTGAGTCATAACCATGTACCCTGAAGAAAGTAAAAGCTCTTCTAACCTAGTTTTTTTAATATTTGTACTGATGAGATCTGACTCATATGGGTACTCTAATGATTAAACAACCTGGAATCTGTATCAGATTGCTCCCTAAATCCAAGCCACTAGAAGATTTTTATTCTCCTTTAACATAACAAAACTATTATTTTTTTAACAAAAAGAATAGATATCGATCAGCCTCTTAAAACCACTAGCAACCACACTAACCACTGCCACGGCATCTGATAAAGCAGGACAGAACATAGATTTTGCCAGAACTCACAGAAGCTTTCATTTAGCTGGAGTACAAGAAATCTCCGCTTTTATTAACACTAACAAAAAAGGCATCCAGAGCATTCACACACTTTCAGACAGAAAACCAATTTGTTATCGTTCAGTCAACACAGAGTCAGTTTCAGTATGAAGAGGCAAAATGTCTTCCTATCTGTATCGATACACTGCAAGATTAATTATTTTGAAATAACTAACAGTTGTTGGGGAACATTTAACATAACACAGAGTACCAGATGCCTACGTAGTTGTAAATCATCCATATCCCCTTCATCTGCTGAGAAGAACAAGAGTTAAGGTGGGGGATTGTCTTTTGTTGTTTGTTGGTTTTTTGTTGGTTTTTTTTTTTTTCTTTAAAGAAAACTCTTTTCCTAGCCTAGCAAATACTTATTTGTTTCAATCAACTTTCCTAAAATACAAGATCTTGGAATTCAGTCTCATATTTGCACAAGTAAAAGATTCAAGCCTAAGAGAATTAAAAAGCATTATAGCAGATAACTTCCCTGTAGCCCATAGGGAACACATGGAGAACAACTCTTAAAAAAAAAAAAAAAACACCAAAAAAAAAACCACAAAAAACCACACACCCCAAAAAAACCCCCAAAAAAACCCAAAAAACACACCACCAAAACTAAACAAACCTTCAGCCTTGAAAATGAACAGACTTGCAAGAAAGTATTTTAGGCTAGCTTAATGGAAGAGAATCTCAAAAACATTTTATTCAACAGTGTATTTGATTTAAATACAATTTAAATACAATTAAAAAGTACAGAGTAAAAAAATATATTGCCATTGCTGTGTCTACCCCAGAACATGAACAAAATTCATCCTCTTTTTTTTTTTCCTGTTTTGGAGTTGCAAGCAGGGAAAAAATTCACTGGTGCATGGCACAAACCAGTCCAGCTTACCTAGTAGAAATAAACAAAATATAATGTGGTCCTCTAAAACAGAGATATGGGTACGTATGGGACACTAGTAAAAATAAAATAAAATAAAATAAAATCTATCAGTGTCAGCCAATAACTAGCTTAATGAATACAGCAAGCAGAGACAGGCACCCTCAATCTCTTGCCTCCCCCTGTCCCCTAGTTCAACAACTCCTGTAACAGTAAGCATATTCTCCTTGGAGTGAACTTTTTTTTCAGACACAATGCCCAAACTTCGCCTTTGATTTATCAGCCTGGTAAAGAGAATACACTTTATACTTAAGGAGGCTAAAGACGACTATCAAATTTTGGATGATGATTGCATGATGGGCCTCTGGCAGCCACGAATCCTAAGATGTTCACTGCAACTCCATCTTGTTTCCTCCCTAATCTTCACAGGTTCATGGCTTCCTCTCCAAAGGTCTTAAATAGCATCGCTTAGCTTTTTAAGTGTATGTGCACATAAATCTTAACAAACTTTGGGACACTTTCCCCTCAAAAGATTTATCACACTCCTTCCTTTAGCCCTGGCAGCATCACCAGGCAAGTAAACTAAATCAGAGATGAATTTCACTGTTACTGAACTGAAGAGAGGCCCACCCATAGGAAGAAAGCAGTGTAGTTCTCTGAGGCTTTTTGTAGGCAAAATAGATGCTAAAACCTCAAAAGTTTTCTGAGGCTCCAAAAGTAATCTGAGATGCAGCCTGCTGATCCCAAACAGAAAAAAAAAAACAGTTTGTTTCATCAACCATTATGTTGATGAACCAAGTGTTCAACCATTATCCTACACCCAAAACTTACAAAGTTCTGAAATCTTTCGAAGTCAGGAGTGACAAAAATGGGCTTAGATGGACATGCCTACACAATATGGGAACAGACTAGTTCTGAAGAACAATCAATTTAGAAACTTTTCCTCATGAGGGATGAGCTAAGCAAACCACAAAAAAAAACCCTACGTTCATGGAGCCCTCAAGAACTCTGCACTGTGCTTTCTCTCCTTTCCTTAGTTTTGGCAGTACAAAATACAAAACATAGAATGGGGAACCTACCAAATAGACAATATGCAGATCGTTCTCCAGAACAAAGCTTTTCATAGCTCGCTGCAGGTCAGCAAAGATTTCCATGGCTTCAGTTGGTGAAAGAGAAGAGGAAAGAGTAGCTGAGCCAAGATGTGTTGGATGATAAACCTTTGCTGTTTTAAAAAAAAAAAAAAAACACCAGAAAAGCCAAAAACACATAGAGAAACATTTAGGTGCAAGTTTATATCTCATTTTCAGGTTGCAATGTATTTATAGATATCAATTCTGCTAACTTTTCCCAACTGCTTTTTCAAGAAGAAAGAGCGTATTTCTCCATTCTGAAGGCAGGAAAATGGAAACAATAAAAGGTTTAGACTTGCCTAAGTCTAAACAAGCCTTTTTCAGAGGTCAGATCACAAGCTTGCATCCCTCTAACTACTCGGACTAACTGCTGCGATAGCTATTTGAACAAAAAACACTAGAATCCCATCTGCCATGCTGCCTAGGAGTGATCATTTTGAGTATTTCTTTCTTAGGTACACCAAATATCTCCTATCATCTTTTCTTAAAAAGAGATACAAATTAACCTGTAATGGGGATTCTTACTATTACTGTAAGAGTCTCATCCTTAGCCATTTTAAGAAAATAGCCAAAATAGGGAAAACTGCAACCATGTACACCAAGCAGTTCTAAAAGAGACTTGCACTCTCTTAGAACGTACTGGTTCTTCTTCAGAAAGACAAAAATCATAGTCTACAGCTAACGTGCACAAATCCTGTAGTAGAAGTATGCCTTGTTTAAAGATATTTTGGGAATTTGTAGACTAGGATGCATCAGTCTTAGAGGCGATGTGCAGAGAAAGGCCTTCGAAGAAGAACACGTGCATGCAAAAAATGTTAAAGCAGGTATAAAGACACCCTCTAGAAAGCCAAAGAATTCTTGATACACGATTCTTTAAAATAAAAACAAAAATGCACAGAAGTCCTCATTATAAAGTTACACTGAACAGCTACCCAGCTGCAGAAGATCTACTGATTCAAAACTGCTAACTGCAATCACTGGGAAAAACACCAATGTTACCTTTCGCATCATTGCTGGAGTCCAGAACCTGAATGAATTCATTTTCCAGCAGCCATGCCACACAAGCCTCAATAGGTCCAGTCTGTGCTTTGTCTTGTGCTTTCTCATTTCCTCGCTTGCTTTCTTTCAAGCTGGATGCAAGAAGAGTGCAAGAAGCATATGTCTGCACATCATCTGGAGTGTTGGCCACTCCCCCCACTATGATCTGTTGAAGAAAACTACTTGTTCATATCGCCAGAGAAGCAGTAGGATGGAACATCAGATCAGAGAATTAGAGAGACTGATCCATCAGATATCTAAGTTTTAAAGAACCAGTACGAGAGAGGAACATAAGGCAAAGCAACTGCCAACCTTTAAGGCCCTTTCTTGGCAAGAAGTTAGACACCTTAGGTAGAAGTAAGAACTAAGCTACGCGACAGAATGAATTATAAAATCTTATTTTGATAGCAGACATACACATAGTAGCAATTTAGATTTGAGACTAGCCCTATGCATTTTGCTTAGCCAACATTGTGAAATACTTTTAAAAGGTTAGAGCACAAACCGCAATTTTCTGAAGACAAAAAGCAAACCAGGAAGGAGGAGTTCTCCTAAGGCTCTTCAGCATACTGAAGTTTTCTCTTAATAAATGTGAATGCTATAACCCATCATTGCTTTCCTGATTAAGAGTGATGTTTTTCCCCTTGGATTTTGTTTTCGTTTTGTTTTTCACGTAACTGCTTTTTCCTTGTGAGTAATTTCCATGCGTGTGTCTTCCTTGAGATAGCAAGGTGTTTAATCAAAAACTTTATTTCATGGTTTCAATGGATTTTTTTACGTTATAAAGCAACACCACCAGAAAGAAACCCCCATCTTTTGATAGCTCTTATGTAGGAAAATGCATTTAGAAATTCCATTGGTCTGCTAAAAATTCAAAATCTATGGAATCACAACCAAGTGCTAAGTATCACAGCAGTTTTCACAAAAGACGGTAGGAATAGTACAGCAAACGAACTGTACTGAAAAAGTCTAAGCTCAGTTCAAGCCCAAAAGCAATTTTGGAAAAGGAGATAAGCTCACCTCCGTGGAATAACACCCTTTTGGTCCCTTCTTATTCCTGTAGGAACCCTACAGAGGAGAGCAGGCTAGAGGGAGAGAATGGGGTACCATACCTGTTTGTTCACTAAAAATGTATTTACAAAATTTCCATCATTTCTGTGCAAAAGAGGTAGGTAAGTTGAGGGGGGAAACAAGGGACTCTACAAGGTTCTACAAATGTCATTATGGCCTAATTCAGTCTACAAAGCCTCTGGAATCAGTAATGTACAAGCATCTCCCAGTTAAGACTGTGAGGTCACACATGAAGTTTAAGAATTACACTTATTTATGCCTGCAGTTTGAGTATATGTAAATGCAAAAGCAAAGCTTAGTAACTCGTTTGACTGTGCTCTCATCCTGACCTGCAGGAAGCAGAGACTGAAACATACCAAACAAAATGCTGAATACTGAAGCAAGCTGGCAGACCCAACTAATTTTCTTCTGAAGCTGCTTGGCTTGACAAGGGAGGAAACAGAAGAAAAAGAAAGTGCACAGAAAACATTTGATGGTGTCACAGAAGAAACCATCCTACAATTACAAGAGTGCAAGCACAGTTCTAATTCCTCTCCGCATGTCCTGTACCTCAAGTATTGCTCTTTTCATGCTAGAAGCAACACCTTCCCCTTCTCTTCTAAGCAAACAACTGCAAACAGGCTTGAGAGATCCCTGAAGTAGAGCAGTTCCTTTTGATCTTTCTGAGGGCTTGCAAACTAAAATGCTCTCACCTATAGGAAAAACAAACAAACAAACAAACAAAACCCAAACAAACCACATTAATGACCTTAGTATTGCATCTTAGCACTGTAATAGCTACATAGAGCTCATCAAGGACATATTACTGGAATAGAAAACTGCAGGTGTTTTTGAAAAAGCTGAATTAAAAAAAAAAAAGAAGATAAAAACCTTTGCAACCTTGAATAGTGTATATCCATTGCTATGTAAGAACTCCACAGATGCATAATACTTAAGAACTAAAAGCTCAGAGCAGGACAAACTTCAAAGTTACGTTAGGCTGGTCAAGGTCTTGCCAAAGCAGCTAAGGGCTTCCATAGCCTCTCTCTGCATCTGCTTTGTTGCTGAACCACTCTCACTTCTTGTTCTGGAATTGACTGGAACTATAATATACAGTGACATCAATTTTTCTTCTGCACTACATTACTAAACTGAAAAGATTTTCAAAAGCAAGACGAAAACATAAAAGCTGCACAGCACTTTGACACTTTGTGTTAAGTCAACCAGCTTCCACTCCCGAAATAAAATAACACAGATACTAAAGTAATTCAGAAATCCAACATTATTAATCTAAGTAACTATGCATTCTCTGAACTTTCATATATGCATATATATATATACACACACACAAAAAAAATCTTGAGTATCCTGAATGGTTTCCACTGAAAGTACATCTAAATATATCTTACCTTAAAATTCTCTGTCAGACATTGTTAAATTAATCCCTAACTACTGAAATTCTGTGGGAGACAAGAAAGGTCCCAGAGCCATGAAACAAAAATAAAAATAATGGGCCAATTCCTTTAATGATATAATAGTACAGACTACCCATGGAAAATGCAGTGGTCACACAAAGGACATTTTTTCAACAAAGCTGTTACAGAGAAACTAGGTCCCTGGGAGACCTAGCTAGTTAGAAGCTTTGCCAATTGGCACAGGATAAATGAATTATGGGTAGGACAAGCTTGCCTTTGACTAAGAAGAGAGCATTAGATTTGGATTAGCTGGACAGTAAATATCATGATAAGTTTATGATAACTTGTTAAGATTTAAGTGCACATAGTCTGGACACCAAAGTAATTTTGGTAGTGGGTATCTTATTAAGATACTAGGAACGTTAAATTACGATAAAACCATAGCCGTGGTAATGCTACAGTAATTAGCAACTTCAGAGGCAATGAAAACACAACTGCACTTAAATTTAATGAACAGAATAAATACCAAAATGCAGTGTAGGTGAGTAACTGAATACAGCTTAAAAATGATTACATAAATGAATTACAGGATGAAAGAAATGCTCAGAGGATGTGTGAAACTTTTGACATCTGTTGACCATGTACTTTTATCAGAGCTGAGAGTACAGAAGATAAACTGCCTGTAAGCATTGTTTTGTGAAAGCAAATCTTATTTCAATCTTAGCAATAAAGAATGTTCAGTCATTTTGTATTTGGGTTCTGATGTGACCTATAATTCCCTCTGAAAACTTTGACTCTTCAGTGTGATAAATCTAACAGAAGATGGGTATCCGCTTGGCTCTACATTATGTGACAGTCATTCAAGACTAGGGGGAAACCATTTCCCAAGATCCCACTGAGAACTTAAAGCCAAATACTGCAACCTAGCAAACAGTAAAAAAAAAAAAAAAAAAAGAAAAAAAAAAGAAAAAGGGAACTAAGCTGTTCTAAGATCCCTTATTGAACATTTCAGATGAGAGGGGAAGTCTAGGTTAGCATCAGACTAGACAAACACCAGAAGACTCTGGCTATCTAGGCATCAAACTCCATTAAAAGCAAAAAAGGGCCTATTATATTTCTAGGTTTTGTTCAGTGATATTGAACAGCTTTACCTATTTCACCTTGGGAACATGACAGTTTTGATGAGTGCAAAAATAATCCAATTTCATTTTCTAAAATTATGTTTTTAAATTTCCATCAAATCAGTAAAAAAAAAAAATTAAAAAATCAAAACCTGAGACAATCCCAACACTACAATGTTGGGGGAGGGGGGAAGTGAAGGAAATCAATGCAACAGCATTTATCTTCTGTCTGTCAGCTGAATTTCATATCCACATAAGGCATTTTTTCCAGCTGAAGTTGCTGTCCTCCAGTCTCCCTACTCTGTGAAAGAGGAGCAGCTGGTAATGTAGCTTTATGTTCTCATCCAAAAGATTCTGTGGAGTGGAAAAAAATGGTACATTCATGAAGCTCATCAGCATAAAATCAACTGCTTACTGTGCAAAACACAGTCACATCAGAACTGTCAAAAAAGGGTACTAATTATTGTAACTTGAAGGGGAAAAAAAAAGAAACTTCAAGGAATAATGTAATTTGACACCTGCCAGCTACACTCAAGTGACAAAGTCTGGAAAATTTCAAAATACAGCATGCAGCTGCCCTTTTCTTTAACACATAGGGATACCTCACAGAGAGATAGGTTGTAAAATGCCCTGTTGCTATGCTACTCTGGCAAAAATAGAAAGTTGTATGTAAGAACAGTCTGCTTACACAGGATTCCAGCAAGCACCAATCAAACCATCAGTAGGGCAAATCCCACTTCCCGCTTCTGTTAGAATCATAGAATCATTAAGGTTGGAAAAGACCTCTAAGATCATCGAGTCCAAACTTCTTATTTTCTATTGTGTTTAAACTTGTATAATACAATTTTTCCAAATATCATCCATGAAGATAAATTTCTATTGCAAATTAAAATAACAGGCAGGATTATTTTGTTGAACATCAATCAGTGCCGCTGTATGCATGAAGACACCATATTATCTATGAACTACTGTTCATATTTCCGTGTCTCTCTGTCGCATTACCACATTCAAGATCCATAAAAGTTATGGTTAAGTTAAGTTTAGGAAATCCAAATCAGAACTTCAGACAACAGAAGAAGTTTGTCAAATTATGGTTGTAGACTTTAAATGCATTTCTTATATTTTAGGCCTGTCCAATGAGAGTTTACTGTAAATTTTCTCACTGAGACTGTAAACACTTTAGTAAACTGACCATGGATCATAGAATTAAGGCAAACGAACAGAGCCTTAGAAGCTAACAAGAATTCAAAGGAGAAAATAGCCCATTCCTGAAGTAACTGACATGTTACTTACCAAAGTAAGTCTCATGCAGTGAAAAGAATCCCCTATGAATTACAATTTTTACTCCATTAATACCAAACAAATTCATCTTGATTAACTTAATCATACTGAATACCAAAGGAATTCATCATGATTAGTCGCTAATTGCAAAGCACTGCCCTGGATTTAATCAGGTTAACACCATTCTTGGAGAATGTTAATAAAGCCTCTACTTACCCTCTGTGTCTACTCCTTTCCTGCCAGCCCTTCCAGCCATCTGCTTGTAAGTGAGAATGTCCAGCAGTTTGCCACCAAACATGGGAGTTCGTATAATCACTCGGCGTGCAGGCAAATTCACTCCAGACGAGAGCGTGGAGGTTGCTGCTAGGACTCTAATCAAGCCCTGGCGAAAGGCTCCTTCAATGATGTCCCTTTCATCAAAAGTAAGGCCTGAGGAGAGATGACTTTTGGCAAACCCAGTAATGGTGAGACTGCATTTAAGAGTTAATAATATTACTGTCAAGCAAGGGGAAGAACAAACAAACTTAATGAACATTCGCCATTTGGTGTTAGGAACTAGAGTCGCAACACTACCTCAATTAACTTCTTTTGAACCGTAAGGGAAGCAAAAATTCACTATTAAGTTTTCATTATTCAATTGACAGCAATAGTTACCAACTAGGTTTTCTAAGGTGCTTGTACGCAAGATGAACAACTATTTACTATATATCCACATGCAGTGCAAGTAAATAAATAAAGAAATAAAAAAAATAATAAGAAGAAAACTGGATGTAACAAACACAGTAGGGAACTAGGATTTAGTCATTTTCCATCCTGACCCTGGAATCATTCTTCATTATTTCCATTCTAGGTTACAGGTCTAATATGTATCTTTCTACATTTCCTTGAGGGCTTCAGGCCAATTTTATTCTCGAGAAAGAAATCCACACTCTGTAAGCATTTGGAATTATTCCCCCTACACATTCAATGCCATAGCTACTGTTCTCTTTTCCAGAGTCAGTCCTTTCTCTCAGTGGATCAACAGGTGACATATACTATTACCTACTTAATTAAGAAATAAAAGATCTAGCCAGAAGCATTTGCAGCACATGCTCCTTTAATTTTTACTTTCATTGTTATACTACTTCTATTTACTCATCTATTTTAGTATTAAGTTGAGGAAAATTGTTCTGAAATACTCTGGCAGCTTTAGGGACAACTTGAAAATGCTTGGGTTGAAAATCAGCTAATTTTTCAGGCATATCACAAAAAAATTTTAAGTGGTATTTAAAAAGTTGCTGTTATCCAACACAGCAGAGAGAAAATTTATCATAACAATTAGTGACTTAAAGTCTTTGGCCACAATAAAAGAATTTCAAGTTTACCTCTAACTGTGAGATTCTCAAAGCATTTTAATTCAGTCATAAACTACAGAAGGCTTCAAAAAGTAATTGGTAAATTGCTGGTAACTACACCAGAAAGAATCCATATGACTTGACCACTACAGAATTCAAGACCAAGATATTCAGGAATACCTGCATGATGAAATGCCACTCCCCATGGCAAAGTACGTTGGAGCACAGAGTCCAGGCCTGAGATAGAACGCTTCAGCTGATCCAGAACTTCATCAATCTCTTCTCTGTCCACAGCAACTGGGGAAAGCGGTGAGTTTTTTGCAGAACCTTGAGAGAGAAAATATTTTTATAGTTTCTACTAAAGTTAATTTTCATTAAAGGCACTGTGCATACTACAGTCTTCTATTAACTACTTTTCTCTTACTCTCAGCCTGTTGCAAACTGTAGAATTCCCTGGCAATGACGTCTGCCAGCTTCTCACACCAGGTCTTTGATGGACAGAAAAGCAGGACTGAATGGCCATCACAAACAGTCTCATAGCACAGGCTCACAACATGGTCTTCATCTCCCTGAATTAAGACAAAATACTTTCAATGCACTCTCACACTGAATGGGGTTTGTAAATGCTGTCATTCTTCTGTGTCACAGTAGGAATTTTCTAGTTCAAGTCAGAAAGAGGAGCAAACAAAGAAGATGGAGCACTGTTATCTCAGTTTCTGTCTTGCTTTAGGAAGTCCAAGCACTAGATGACCGCATTGTTGAGGACAGCCCTTGACCCACCCGTGAATAAATCTAAGGTTTTACGTCTGGCTTTCATAAATCCGTTTCTGAATAAAGGCCGCACAGTGCACAAAAAAATCACGGAAACCTCCATGTTGTGGCTAACAGCAGTGGGGAAGAACCAAGAAGAGCCCCAAAGGAAAACACCCCTCTGCAGCAACTCAGGAAGACTTACCACCTAGGATGTCTGAACTAAAAGCATGAGATGTAGTAGCCTGAGCATCCCCAATAAGATGCACCCAGCAAGCACTGCTGACCAAAGATTGCAAGTGTTCAGAGCACAGTGGAAAGCTTTTATGGATACTTGTATGGATGTGCACGCAAAACCCTACTGTTTACAGCTTGCCTTTTTGGTTTTAAGATCCTAAGAGAGTTCTTGCAACTGATCTGTTTTGCTTACCTAAGCCAGATTCTCTTCCAGCAAGCAAGCCAAAGGAGGAAGAGAAAAAAGGTAGGTGTATGGTGAGAAATAAAAAGTACTGAAATGCAAATGAAAACAGGGGAGCAATGGCAGGAACTGCATATACACATCAAAAGCTCCGTAAGGATTCAGTCAAATTCAGCGGAAGTGGTGAGGTCATCAAGTTCCCTTTCCTGGTCCAGTTTGAGGCACAGAACAGAATTCTGAAGGTCCAGTGATAGATTTCAAGCCCAAGAAGATCACCTGGTCTTATAAAATAAGCCAACTCCCTTCGACTGTTGAGTCACAAGCCTAGTTTAGCTCTTTCTCTCACTTTAGTACCCATCCAAAGCAGCAACTACAAAAAATATCCAGAAAAGGAGATGCAACATCATCTTCATCACCAATATGAGCACATAAAAGCAAGTCTCCAGATATTCTTGTCACAAACATTTCCTTTTGTTTCTAGGATCCTTTTTTTTTTTGCTGTGCCACCATGCTACTGACAACAGAATGTTTGTGCACAACAAGAACTGGGTGCAAAACATTCCAAAATATTGCTGGCATTCAGCCCATATTGTCCAACTACTATATTAGTATTACACAAAGCAGTTGAAAGGACTGGAGAGAGAATTCACCCTTCAAAGACTTCACAGAAAAGGAACCTACAAGTAGGAAGTGCAAATTTCCCATTTCTACCCATTTGATTCTTCCAAATCATTATAGTACGTCACTCTCAACTTTTCATACCCTTTACAAGTGCGCAAAAGGGCTAAATACTGAAAACAGATTCAGAAGAATCAGGACGGACATCTGCCTTCTAATCACTGACAAAATTAGATCATTCAGCAGTTTAACATAAGCAGGTTCAATACCAGATTTTAATGCAAATATATTCTCCCAAGGATTAATACAAATTCCTTGGCCTAACCAGGAAATATTTACCTTCATTTATGAAAGTGAAGTAGATTCCAGGACACAAGATAGAGTGGTAGGTAAGGGGACAATCAAACTCTTTATATCTGTCAAGTGCTCGGAAACAAGATAGCTGCAAAGTCAACTTTGTCTTCAAGTCAGATTCAAGAAACTTCAAGAACTTCATGAGCGTGACTGTGTTTTGTTTTGTTTTTTGTTTAAATCAGTGGAAGACAAAAAAAAATTGTCCTTAGTTTGAGCATACAATCTATGAAGTAAACAATGAAGTTGGGAATGTCATCTATTTTAAAAAAAAAAAAAACAAACCAACATACCAGTAGCTGTCTTTTTAACTTTAGCTGTACAAAACGTGTTATCCCAAAGCCACCGCTCAAAGTTTTGTTACCTTCACTTGAAGCTTGGGCTGGAATTCTCGCACTAAATTCATGGAGGAGTCATAAATGTTGCTGCCAATTTTCACCCACTCCTTGAGGGGCACAGGGCGAAAATCCGTACAGTATAGCTCTGCATCTAACCATGAGGCTAGGAGTCCCAAGTTAGGGAGGGTAGCACTCATGCCTACTATCTGTATCCCACCAAAACCAGGACCAGGCATCTTCGCTTGTCTAGAAGTCGTTAAAAGAAAATGAAAGTTAGTGATGACACAGGCTACTGTTCTGGAAAACAGCATTCAAAAACACTAACTCAATCTACTTCCATCTGGGGTCTAAGGTGCAAAGCTATTTTTTTCAACTTCTTGAAAAAAGAAACAAGCCATACTCTATTTTTAGCAAACACAACGTCAGGTCATGCATTGATAATTCAAGATAATTCAACTTTTTATCATCTTGAACCTAAAATTTAACCTTCTTTAGGTAAGAACAGCCATAACCTGACTGCATATTTGGAGAAACCGAAAACAAATACATAAATCAACTGTTTCCTTGCCATTAACAAAAACATGGAAATAAAGGAATCGTTCAGTCTCCACTGCAGTCTTTCTAAGTTTAAATGCCTTAATTAAAACACTTCCATTTGTTTCAATTTCAGGACAAATAATACTAGACTAAGGTATTCCTAAAGTTGGGAACCAAAGCCCTTAGTTCAGCAAAGAAGAAAGGAGCTTCAGTTCTCAAAGTGCTCCACTAAGGGTAGTGAGAAATAATGGACTCTTAACAGACTTGAAAACGCAAACCATTAATTTAGATCCCCAAACGTACATTTTAATTCAGGCTTTTACATCCACACAATGCTCCTAAGCCTACGTTTAAAAACTACTCATTTGCATTGCACTGAGTCATAAATTGAGACTTAAAAAAAGAGGAAGGTCTGACAAATCAACGTGAGCTCAGAAACAGCCTGAACCTTCTTGGAAGATCGTGGTAATCCTGGCAAAGACAACACAGAGCAAACAAGACTACCCAGAAGCTAGAGTAAAAAAGTGCAGTTACGGGCAAGTCAGAAATAAGGAAGATGTGGAGAGGCAGACTCTCTTATCCAAGCTCTTCAAGCATTTGCTAGTACAGCTTCCCCACCTAGGTTGCAAATTTCCCCCCCCGAAGCAACTTTTGACCTTCAAGGATTAAAAAAAATACAAGTTCCACAACACTCTCTCTGATTGGGGAGGAGAAAAATCTGCTGCGGAATTTTGGCTGGGTCTGCAAAAGCCTCATGGAGAAGCAAGGATATCCACGTTGGCAACAGCCATCAGAGAACATTCTCTTGGTGCAAAGACACAGCCTTATACTTCAGTGGGACATCCCCCTAACCACTTAGAAAGCTCTTAAAAGCACTTGCTCATTCATGATAATAGGTCAGGCTGGACAGTGTCTAAAGAATTTGGATAAAGTGGCTCCCATTAAGTAAAAAAAAAAAAAAAAGCACCACAGACTTAGGAGGATGTTTGAGAGAAAAAGTGGTCTTCAACTCCAGGAATCTCAAGTGGATTCCAAAACAAAAATAATGGCCACCTCCTTCATGTCAGTAAGTGGTACAGGGAACCCCTGTCAACTTGACCATGACGGAGAGATGAAGGATCTGGGCCCCAGCGCCTATATGGTGAAGGCTGAAGTATTGTATCTTCCCAGGAACATTCCTTGATGCATCTGTCCCTTTTTCCCTGACAAATGTTTTCTCCTTCCTGCTTCTTCAATGCAAGGGAGGAAAGAAAGAGAGCGGTCCTGCATCTGTGCTGTAGATACACGATAAGGCAAGGTAAAAGGAGTGGCAAAGCCACTCACGTTGCTTGAAGTGTACTGGCTTCCAGGACTTACGGGGAGAATATGAGAAAAAGCCAGAGGTGATTAGACCCAGAACATCCCTTAATCCTGGAAATCAAGACGGGAAATACTGGCTAAAACCTCTGGTGGAGAGCCAATGTAAAAATGGCAGTTCCCCCAGAACTAAATAGGTAGTCTGTGCTTAGCCCAGCATTGGTACGACTCACAAGAGAGGAAGCAGCAGAGAAAACTGGCAAAATTTCACTTTTGGTGCTAAGGGAACAGTTGATTTTGACTCTTCTCTCAGCACCACCAGTAAAGATCAAGGCAACCAATACACCGTCTCCTCCATTTGCCTTCGTCTGTGTTCGGGCACTACGGAGCAGCTGGACAGTTTGGTGCTGGGGATCTAGATACTGAATTCTTAAAAGCCTCTAAAGCTGTTCTGAAACATTTAATCTGTTCCCCAGTGTCCAATCAGTTGTGCTAAAGGCAAGAAACCATGCAACCACTAGGCTATCGCATGTTATAAGCGAAACCACAGATCACCCTGAGCAGTGCTAACTAAGCAGGATGCTGGCACATCCTCTTAAGTCTTCTGATCAATTCACCATTGACAAGTTAACAACATGCCTGCTCTTCCACAATACCTGAACGTTTCAGTAGGATAAATACCCCATTCCATGAAACACTGAAAAATTAAGCAGGGCAAGTCCACTAGCAAAAACATTAAAAGAAATCCAAAGTTTTTTAAAAAAATTAAATAGGCTAAAAAAGTAAATGAAAGCTTCAACCTTATTTCTTTTCCCGAGAGAATGGATCCCATGGTAGCACACAAATTCAAAACCATGAGGAAAAGAGGTTTTGACTACAACGGCAGGCCCCTGAGAGGTGGTACGATGAGACCTTAATAACCAAAATAGTCTAGGTCATCACTCTCATAAAAACCCTGGAGCTAACCAAAATTTCCAATCACCCAGAGAACAGAATATTTAGAGCTATCCATAATTTAGCATTAAAAGACAAACACCCTGGTCTACCCACCGTTTTTCAACCTTCTCTGTAACATATCTAACTTTGGTCAGAAGGAGTTCCAGTAGATATCCTCGATGAGAGTCTCCCAGCATGTGCAACTCATCCACAACCACCACTCCTGATAAAGAGAAGCACTCAGGTTATATCTGACCAAACTCCAAACTAAGAACACATAGCCTCGATCCTTTCATATTCTACATGATGAACTGAGATTTATATTCACAAATCCAGCTGGGCTTACCAACACTGCTATGGCTTCCTTCTGTCACTGATTCTTCTAAGAGAGGCAAACCATGACCAATGTCATAACACGTCACACCCCCACAACCTCACACACACACACAATCAGCTTTTAAAAAAATAAAAATAAATAGGTTGAGTTGTTAGTCTGGCCACCACGCAAAACAGTACTGCAGCATCTATACTGTAACCTCTCTGCAAGTAAAAACCCCCAGGGTTCAGAATATCTGGAAAGGAACATTCAACACCCAAATGAGCTAGTCAAAAGCTTTGCTGACATCACTGTCCTAGTTAAAAACATTACTCCTTACTAATACAGTAATGTCAGAAAAAAAACCCTAGAGCAGATGTAATTACACTGGCATAGCCTGCTTCCTATGATATCTTTTCTCACCAACCGAACCTGAATGAGCTCTACTATTTAGCTTTGGCTTTCTAATGAAAAAATCCTTACATGACTGCTCTGTTGTCATCCTACCTCCTGCAAATTACTTTTTAATCTATTAGCCACCTCCATCAAATTTGTAAGATGTGTAGAAATACTGAAAAGAATAACATCTAAAAAGCTTTCCGAGTATCAGTAGCTAGAGACAACAGACCAGATTAGGGTCTCCCCTCAGGAGAAAACATAGAGCCACTACAACTCAGCCACCTAGCACACGTCCCAACTAGCAGCAGTATGTACCCTTTCTGGCCAGCTGACAGGGTCACAGGGACATGGAAGAGGCTGAAGGTCAGATTTTTTAAAAAAAAAAAAAAAAAAAAAAAAAAAAGCAGGGCATTGAGGACACCAAGCTTCATTAGTTCTGCTGCTGTGGATTTTTTTTGTCTTTGGTGCAGCTATGTAACATCTTCCTGGTGCAGCTAAAATAGCAGGAGCTTAAGGGCAAATGTGACCTTATATTATCTGTTTCAATGCTATTTTTCCATCTCATTTTTTTTCTCTCCTTCCTACGTATGTTCCTTCTCTTTCCGTCTGTTTTCTGTTTTCTCCCCCCTTCTCTTTCAAGCCACTTAGGTTAGAAAAGAGTGTTGCACTGCTTCATCACTCTTTTACAAACTCCCACCCATCCAGTTCCTCTGTCTTCCTGTACTTCCTCTATTCTGTGCTCGTTTGTAAAAAATGGTAATTCGTTGGTCACCAAATAGATATTTATTCAGCTACCAGAAAAAACTTCTTCCTGCTTCCCCGTACAACAGTCTGCCTGAATTCTTCCAGCAGCTGAGACAGGACAGTGTAATGGGATATCTACCAAAGTAAAATTCATACAAGTTACCTTTCCAGTCTTTGTGCCAAGCAGCAGCACATTTTGCTTCCTGAAATGAAGTACCTACAGACCAAAGCATAGGCAATGCCACTATTTGTTGTATGGGCCACTTGTTCTATACCTTCTGCTGCTACTCAGCTATAATAAAGATTCAAACCCACGCTAAACCTGCGTACTGCATTACCCTGGCAGTCTGCGAGCTGGTGAGACCCGACTGTCACGCATGCACAGTGCTCTCCTCTATTCAGGCAGTACTCAGAACATGCCCACTGGGATAAAAGAGCAGGAGCAATCAGGCAACCAGTATTTTTCACACAGCCATCCTCATGTTAAAATGGAACTGCAGCCAAGGAGGACTACAGGTCCCAGCATGCAGTGGTATTTTCTACTCAACAACAAGCTCAGGAGTGCAAGTGGGGCCAGAATTTCATCATACTGCATTGCTACTGAAAACGAGGCTAGCCTCAGTCTCCTCTTTCTGTCTGCATATTAGGTGTGTCCCTAGAAGACTGCTGAAAAAAAACCACTAAAAAGTACCCAAGAGCTATCATATATGTTTACTGCAGAATAACTAGGCTGCTTTAAGTCCACATCCTGTTTAAAACGAAAAAGTTCCGAATGATAGGCAGGGAGGATTTGATTATTTTTTTTTAAATACAATTAAACTAGTAATTTTTTAACTTCAAGTTTAAATTAAGAAAAGAAACAAGTATCACAACAGCACATTACAAATCCATTCCCAGCTGACGTGTTGAGAAGGCAGTGGGTTCTTTTCTAGTCTGCTTTCCTAAAATTTCTTCAGCATCAGTGTCAAGAGGCTGAACAAGAGGAATATCATCTCCTGCGTACCTGGATGTTCAAACGTACTATATACGTTATATAATAATTAGCAACACAAAATTGCTTTTAACTGCTTCATACAGCAAAGAGAGCTCTGCCAGGCAGAGGATTTGAGTTTCGCTCGACAATTTCCAAAGGCAACTTGAGCTATCAGCAGGGGGTTGACATCAACAAAAGGAACAGCTCAAGCTTGAGATGGAATCCAGCAAGAATTGCAGTCATCTCCCAGTAACTCATCTCAAAAGATAAAACACCCTCGTTACGAACTGGTCTAAATTTAGAATTAATTAGAAGACAAGGTACAATCTTGCAGTTTCAGACAAGCTTGTTTTAGGTGACAGTTAAACTGGCATTTTCAGCTTTTATGAAAATTTATCTCCAAATAGAAAATTTGTCAACTTCTTAATTTAAAGGTGATTTAAAACTCAAATTTAATTTAAAAATTAATTTCAAATAAGCATAGAAAGAAAAAAACCCACATTTTTACCCTTATTTCAGTTATATGGTCATATTGGGGCACAAGGGAAATGGAGGGCTGCAGCAGAGGTGTTTTCAAATGGTGAAAGAAAAACATCATGCTTTAAGGAGGTATCAGTGTTGAGGACACATATTCAAACTCAAATCTTGTAATCACTTGGCTCGTTATACTTATATGACTCTTCCCAGGTACATTCATCTTAGAGAGCACAAGAAAATGTAGAGATGGAATGGAGGTACCAACCAAAGGGATTTGGCATATCTCTAGCTTCTGAAAGATGACATCATTAAACCATACATTTTAGCATACTGAGTATGCTTCCAAGGCACCCAAGCCAACATAAATATGAACATCATGACCCTACTCCCTGCCTTATGCTGGCAGTACAGCTTGTACGGTGTGGTGACCTAGGATCAAACTAACCCTACTGAAAACAAACAAAACACCCCTAAACTAAGTAGCCATATACTGAAATGGCTAACTGCATGATCACCAGTTCTCTTGCCAGGGAAGGGATGAAGACACACATTCAAGAACGGGGCTAGATTCCAGGAACCTCAATTCGAATGAGCTTAAAATGCTGCATAACCACAGTCATCCACTCATCTTCCAGCTCACTGGCAGTCTAAAGCATTCATTGTGATCCAGCCCCTATAGATCCAGGTGTGAATGTATTATCCCATGATCTCACACTCTGACAAAACCTGCAAGGCTTTATTTCCCCTATTCTCTCTTGTGTTTAAAAAACTCTTCTGGTATACAATGCTGCAGAATATTATGACACCAGATGCACATGGAATAGCAGTTTCATAGGTGGAGGTCTCAGACCAGTTTGCTACTCATCTAGTTTTCCGATTTTTATATTCTTAAAATAGCAACCAGCTATGTTACAGGCCAGAGTGAAGATGGGAGGAATTACTGTATAAAATACAACTGGGTATAGCTTTACTGAGCAGGGAAACAAAGAGAACAACTCCTGACTGGACTGGGAAAACACAGCGCTCTCCAAGTGCGTGCTAGAAACACAGGGCTTCTTCAGGGCTTATATCTCCTCCCAAACACTAAATGAATACCATTATCTAGCGGCCATCAGGGCCACGATGACCCAGAAGTCTACCTTACAAGGACAGAGGGCTTTTGAGCCAAGTACAAGAGAGAAATGAATGTCACAGCCCTCCTCGTCACCATGCCTACTAGTCACCATGCCTACTGAGAGGAGCTCTATGTCACCTGGACCCAGATGAGCACCAATTCCTCCTCTTCCTTGAGCTAAGTGAAGATAAACATGGATGCCACAATCTTTGTCCCGAATAAACAAACATACATATGTACATTCTTGAACTCAAACATATCCCAGACCTTTAATTCAATTTCATTAATTAGAAGACATTTCTTAGCTACGGGAATCACTGCTTATTGCAGCTAATCACTGTCCATGGATTGTCGTCCATGTCAGACAAACTAAACCTGCAGCTTCTACCTACTTACTCCCCAGCCACTGAGCTATGTAGAACAGTCCTGACTGCATTCCTAAATCCAAATCAGAAGTGCTCTGAAAGAATATCTGGCATGTCTGACACATATAGAACTGAGCAAATACAAATTATCCCATGATTTCACATGTACTCAGAGTATGTAATGAACCTTATCCCCCCAATGGTCAAGCCTTAGTATTTTACCCAGTGAGTCCATTTTGTTTTCTTCTATTAGTCTATTGATTAGACCATTGGCTTTCTCAATGGTGCAGACAGCAACATCCAGGGCAGAGAAACGTCCAGCAGGAGACATGCTTCCCATGTAGCCTTCAACTCTCACATCCACCTCCTGAAAGAGGGCCTGTTTTTCAAGGATACAGAATGTCATGCCTAGGTTATAACTCTGCTGACCAATGCCTGCTGGCATCACATCAAAGCCTGCATCCTACAACCACAATTTCTAGTACTTATAATGCCAACTAATCAGATTAAAGCCATAGCTCAGCCAGTTACTGCTAGTTTTTGTTTTCCCACTGTCATTTTTTATTTCCAAAGCAGAAGCCACACAGTACACATTGCAGGATAAAGCGTGCATAGCTGAGTAAGAGATGGGAACCACTGTTTTGTATGAAAACATTTGCTATTAAGAACGTTAGAGAACACACAGTGCAACAGTTTATAATACCAGTGGGTTACGTACAAAGAAGCCTTGCTCCTGAGAAATCGGGCAAAAGCCAAATGTGGGACCCCAAACACAAAGATGTCACTTCTCCCAGCTGGAAGTCAAGAAACAACGACTTCTTTTCTTCCACGGCTTATTACTGCAGTGCCAAAACTTTGGCACGTTACACACTGCATTAACAAAAGGTACAAATGTTTGAACCAGATGGGTAAGATACCATATAATTTCAAGTATGTGCAGCTACAGCCAAACCTTAGGCCAGGAGTAGTAGAACACAGCATCGATAATCCTCCAGCTTTACAAGATTAAAGCAAAAGCATATCTCCATTATCAATCACTACAAAGTAGCTTTTGCACTCAGATTCTAACATTTCCTAGCAATTTGCAAGGTTAAGATACCATCTCAGTTTACTAACACCCAAAATGTCTTAAATGTCATAAACTGTAACAAAAATGCCTGCTGGTTTTGTATTTGTTTTTAGTAATTGTTGTTACTTTGACATATTAGCTAATAGAAACAATATTTTATATGAAGGTCTTTCAAGAAAAAACGTTTTTGTTTTAAAAAGACTGTTCCCACTCTAATTTTGTTTTTAAATAGCTGGGGAGAGGAAGCCAAGACATAACCACATTCTGTCAGAATATATTTTTAGCAAAGTCAAAGTGAAATCAAAGGCACAAAATTCTCATGGAACACCCCAAGGAAAGCTAAAATAAAAAGTTCCTTTCAGATAATGTTGACACCTTCCCTTTGTAGTTTTTCAGACACAATCTCTAATTAGAAAATTCCTTTAAAGTTTGTATATTATAAAATCTGTGAATAAAGGCAAGTAATGCTTTAAAAGTCAAAGCTGAAATAAAATGTTTTAACTCCTTAAAATTTTTCCAAGTTTCCCTTTTTGGGTAGAACTTTTATTTTTTTATCTCCGACTTAGAATAAGAGCAAATTTTAAATTATCTACAAATCATTTCTGAAACAACTCTGCAAATTTTTTTTTTCCTCAAATCCATGCAAAAACTTCTAAGTGCTTAAAAAATGTGACCCAACAACTACAACCCCTTCTTGAATGCTACTTACCTGCAGATAACATTTTTTCTCCTTGGCCACAGAGACAAAGGGAAGGATGAAAAGAGCTTTCTTACGAGTCTCCAGGACTCGTTTCAAAATAAGCAATTCTGCAACAAGAGTCTTTCCAGCACTGGTAGGAGCTGGGGGGAAAAAAAAACGTTGGGTTTTTTTAAAATTACTTTTAAAGTTAAAAAAAAAAAAAATCCAAGGAACAAGCATCATAAAGCTAGCATAGGAAGCAGTTCCTGGAGAACTTGGGGCAGGATTCTTCAACAGCCTCAACCCCTCTCCAACAGCCCCTCTCCAACAGCCACAACCACATTTGTAGTTAACCCCGTAAACGGTCAAGAAGACTGCAAAGTATTTCTCTTCTAGCCTCTTCCATCATGCTACCAAGGCTTGTGTTCTCATCTCTGCTCCAGAAGCAACAGCAGCTCAGAGATAAGCAAGGGGAAAAAAACCCACTAGTCTCTTGGTTGGACAGGAGACCTCAGCCACCACCTTACTGACCTAGCCCATAACTATATTAACCCCTCCTGCTTGGCGAGCATTGCTGTTTGCCATCTATCAACCACAGAAAAATGTGGAGGAGATGCCACATTGCGGGGGACAGCCATTACCCAGCAATCAGACACAAAGTCTTCTGGAGGCAAGGAAATAAAACTCAAATCCAAGTCTAAGAAAATCACCCACCCCTCTTCTAAGTTTTTCATCCTCCCAGTGATGCTCTCGGACCTTCTTCCCATGGAGAGTAGATACCCAAGTTGTCATTTCCCACAGATTTCTAGTCCACCAGTCCTACTTCTCCTTCTGCGTGCCCCTCCCATACACTGGGTGAAGAGAAACAATAAAGGGACTGAAAAAGTTAGATAGGATATAAAATTTTCAAAAGTATTTGTATCTAACATTGCTCATATCATTCAGTTCCTGATTGACATAGTCTGTAATAAAAAAAGAGAGTCATCATTAACTGACACCTAATTATCAGTTTCTAAGGGAACATTCAGAGAGAAAATGGGGGAAAAAAGTCTCTCCTCACATCTGGAAAGGAGTCTATCAAGCCAGGTCTGAGGTACAGCAATGGGACAGATCTTAATGGGGTCTCTCCAGAAAAAAGAGGATCTTGACCTTTTTATCTGCCAGATCAGCACTCTTCAGCACCAACATGTTCTTGTAAATGGCACCGGGAAAGTTAGGGAGGGACTGGTTTTGTCAGATATTTGCATACCTGAGTAAACTAGGTTCTTCCCTTCCAGAACTTCTCCGAGCATTAGGCATTCTGCTTGCCATTCAAACATCTGCACGACTCCCAGACTGTGGTATTTCTCCAGAACTGCTTTGGGAAGACTCCAGCTTGCAAGGAGCAACTTGTCTGCTTGGTCTTCAGGAACATTTACCCGCTGATACTGCCCTGGGAGAAGAAAATTTTAAAAAAGTCAGGTATCATCTTTGAATCTGAAGTCACTTAGGTTATATACCTAAAGGTCAAAATTCTCTACAAGCTCCTGTATTATGAGAAAAGGTAACAAGAAACTATCTTCCCTATATTTTTCAATATTTCCTATGGATGTTTCACTATTCTTATCTCCTGACATTTTCTCAAATTTTCCTCCTATAAGGTTTTCCACATTCAAATAATTTCTTCACCAAACTCTCGCTCTGGTATTTGCTTTTGAGACACAGCAGCCATTACCAAATACATACTCAAACAGAGTTTCAGCACTGATTAATATAACAGCATTACAATGTATTTGCCATCACATCCTTATCCAGACTGTTTCCTTTTTAAATTATTGCTGCAGAGACTTCAGTAATCCTCACAGATTACAGAACTGCTCAGTCCTTTTTCTTGCTTTACAGATGAATTAAAAAAACAACATAAACCAAACAAGCAGCTCAAGCTACACTGCACAATGCATGTTACTTCAGTTTATCAACACTGATTAGTATCTTCACCACACTGCCAGTTCCTCTAGCTTAATTAAGTTCCTTGCTCCTTATTTCTTGTCTTTATAACCCTAAATAATTTTGTATCGGCTACAGATATTGTCTCCTCCCTCCCCTCCTCCTCCTCCTTTTTTCCAAATCATTGAGAAACACTCAAACTTTTTTTCCCTTTCCTCATAATGCCTCCCCTATCACCCATGATTTTATAGTTCCCCTAACAGCATTTTGTGAAAGACCTTGTCAAATCAAGATGAAAAACAAGTAATTGTGTGTACTGACTCTACTGTACCCATTCCTCTATTGGCCCATTCAAAAAATCCCAGAAGAAATTTCCCTCCATTGATGACAGCATAAGGGCAGGCTAGATCAGAAATACTAGCATGCACAAGCAGCCAGTATTTTTACTCTCAATATACTAAAGGTTAACCCAACCTAGATGTCACTGGTGCGTGATCATTCCCCCCCGCACAAAAATATAAAAAAGCTGATATAGCTTAGCTCTGAAAGCTTTGTTTCACTTTGTAGAATCAAAGTACTAAACAAGAAGTTGAGTACCATCAGGAGAGAACAGCAGTTTGTCAGGAAGCAGAACAGGCTTCCCAAGGAGAATTTAGAGGAGACCAGATTTGTCTATCCTAAAATGTGACTAATATAGCAGAATTAGGATTTGGAATCATACAAAGAAAAAAAAAACACCTACATGATGGGATCTTGAGCTTCCTTCCTAACGTTAAAACCAATGAATTACATGTAAAAGACAGAATAAGTAAAGGACTACGTGATTCTGCTGTTTGAAGAACATCTGTAGATTAGCACTGAACACGAGTTTGAAAACTTGTGCCTTAGGAGTTCTTGAAGATCTACGTACAGAAGCATACCACTAACACTAACCTCTTTTTTACCTACTAGAAAAATGCTAAGAAATAGTCAAAATGAGGAAGATACATGTTGCTGGTTAAAAGCATTGGGCATTAGATTTCTCTGAAAGAAAACCCTTTGAGAACTTGGGCCAGTTGGACTCAGGAGCGCTGCTTACTGAATTGTTTTTGTCCTGTGGAAATACGTACGTTGCCTTGCTCAGCTCCATTTGCAGGACCTGACAAAATCATATCTTGCAGAATATAATCACATCAGGGAGATGATGTGTCATGACTGGAGAAGAGGCTGAGAGATGTAAATGCTTTAAAGAGTTACAGAAAAATTGCAAAAGAGATGAAGTTACAAGACGTTATATAAACATCTTGATTTTAGATGTTATATACATCTTGATGCTGTATACATCTTGATTTCTCTCTTGATTCAAGAGCACAATAAGCTGGTAAAATGTTTTGCATCTAGAAGAATCACTTTAAGTGCCGCCAGCCAGGACCACTTTATATGACATCTTGCCACAAGATGTTTACATAACACAAGATGTTTATATAACATCTTGTGTATTTAGGCAAGATGTCATATTAAAAAACCTACTACAATTCTCTGCATTTGCAGGTATCAGGGCACCAACCAGGACCACTTAAAGTGATGCCTCTAGATGCAATACATTTTATCAGCTTACTGTATTCTTGAATCAATTTAATAACATAGGTAAACCTCGCCACATTTACCAAAGAATACCGACTATACTGATTGTTGTATTATGGTATCACCTAGAGGCCAAGTCAAGAATAAGGCCGACTGTTAAATGACATACAATGAAACGAGCCCGACTTCAGAAGCGTGCATAGAAAATAAATTTTCTTACCTTCCCCAACCGAACAGTGCATAGGGCAGGAAGATCTTTCGATTCGTATTCGTACGCTACCACCCTTGTTAACATAAACGCTTAGCTCAGCTACAGCCGCTGCCCTCAAGGGAGAAAGGAAAGGGCCAAGAGCCGGT